CCCCAATTAGAGGGAGTCTAGATCCCCAATGAGAAGGACCTTACCAACTTATTCTAACCACTCCTTCACCCCGTAAGGTTGCAGGACTAAAACCGTGGATTCACCACACACACGCCAAGCTACCAGAGGATCCAGGCCAGAAGTGAAAATCCCGAGCTAAACTGGACCAGCCGTTGAAACTGACCTTGACCCGAGGGAGTGCTGAAGAGGCCCCAGACAGACCTACTGATTCTACTAACAGCTGTAATAATAATAAATGACTCACAAACAAACCCTCCAGACCCAGCTGGGGTTTGACCTCTAATATGGGAGGTCAAACTCTTGAAAGGACAAGAGAAAACTATATTAATTAGCCACACCATCTGTGCTTTGTCAGGCCCTTGTCTTGTCTCCTTTAGGTATTGCCCAGGCCCAGAGGCCAGCAGATGGGCCCAAATGGGGCCCTCTACCTGTCTTGCTCTGGCCTATCAGAGATCACCTATCCAATGTGTATGACCAAGTACTGAGAAACAGGGATGACTGTGGGGGGCCTTTATGGTCCTTTCTATGACACTGGTCATGTGTTGATTTTGCCTCTCCGGGGGCTTGAAAAGGGCCCCCCCACAAAGGCCAGGGTGTCAGTATTCAGAGGCTATCTTCAAACCTCTTCAACATAAATGAGCGGTCTAAGACACAGGGAGCAGGAAAGGTAGACTTCTTCCAATTAATAGCAGATAAACCACAATGATGGGGAACTAGGGTCTTCGGGCTGGGAGGATTCCTTGAAAATCATTAGGGAAACTCTACAGTCTTAAAGATCCTTAGCCTTGAGATTAAAAACAACAGCCACCAGCTAGTATAACGAGCAGACCCTGAACTAGGCAGAGACTGTTGGATTTGCCTGAGGGCCGGCCCAGTGTCATATGCTGGGATGGGCCTGACTAACATATCCGAGATACATGAGCTGGGCCTAGAGAACTCAACCCAAAACAACAATACCTATCTCACAGGCCCAGCTATCCAAATAACTGGAGGAACTAAATGCTTTAGTAACAAAAAAAAAAAATTGTACCAATCTGGTAAAAGGAACCAAAGCATCTAATGGGAGTTACTTTGCCTGTCAGGGCAGGATTCACACCTGATAATTTGGGGGAGGGAGTTGTGCCCTAGTTTTCTTAGTCCCAGACCTGGACATACTTCCTGGGACTAAAGTTGCTCAATACCTAAACTAACAAGCTAACAGCCAGACCCATTTCCGACGGGAACCCCCCATCCTCCTCCCGGTACTTCTGGGAGTCGCCCTGGCAGGAGCAATGGCCACAGGAGCTACCGCTATTGGCCTACAACAAGTCCAACACAGCCAGCTGTCTGAACAAATCCGTACAACAGAGTTTAGTTCAACAGAGCATCATCACTCTACAGAATCAGTTGGATTCACTGGCAGCCATAGTCCTACAGAACCACAGAGGCTTAGCCCTCATTACTGTGGAAAAAGGAGGAATTTGCGTGTTTTTAGGGGAAGAATGTTGCTTCTATGCAAACCAGTCAGGGATAGTGAGAGAAAACCAATTACTAGAGAGAATCAAGGCAAGGGAAAGAAACAAGGAAACATTTTGGAATACAGGATGGAAGAGCTGGGCCCCATGGGTAGCCCCCCTGGCGGGCTCCTTATGCTATTACTCTTAAGGCCTTGTGTGATAAACCTCACCAGGTTCATTCACAACCAGATGAACGCCATTAGATTGCAATTAGTAAGCCAATATCAAAGACTGCCTCTAGATGACTCCCCTGAAATGGTCATAAGGGATTATGAAGAGTAAAAGGAGAGAGTGATAAAGAAACCCAGGGGAAAGATCTGAAGGCAAGCTCCCTCCCCTAGCCAAGCCAGGTTTCACAGATGTGCTAATGTGGTATGCTATAACCTTGAGCTAGTGTGGTAGTTGTAACCTCCTAGCGAGAGGCTAACTGCCACGTCTACTTTTGTCCTTCCTGCTTGCTTGCTTCCACATTCTAAGGCTTAAAAACCCCACAGACTTGAGCTGCAGGGCCAGTGCCATTTTTGGAGAGAGATCCAGGTGCTGGCCCGCTAGCATAATAAATCTTCCTTTCCTACAACCACCTGGGTTTGAGTCTTGTTCTCGCTGGTCCGACATTGTTCCCGCAACAATCCCAGCTACACAAGAGGCATAAATAGAAAGATTGTTGTCCACGCTGCCCCCAGCAAGAAATGTAAGTCCTGCCTGGAAAATAACTAAAGCAAAAAAGGTTTGGGGCATGTCTCAAGTGCTACACTGCCTAACTAGGATGAAGCTCAAACTCCAGTACCACCCTCTCCAAGTTTGTTGTTTCATGCCAATATGTTTTAGGGTAATTTGTTATGTAGCATCAGAAAACTAACACAGTTAATTTCCTCAGGATTTCCTCAAAACAAATGCTATGAAGTGGTCATCATAGACTTATTTTACAATTTTAACAGTTCTCTTTAAAGTATCTGAAATATTACAAAAAATATGCACCTGACAGCTCTGCCGCTTGCTGTGTGCCCCTGGGTAAGAACTGAAGTTTCAGTAATATGAACATTGTAAGGCCACTGTGAGGACTAAATAAACTGGTTAAGCGTTGTAACACTGGAATAAACATTTTAGGTACTCAGTAACAGAACATCTCTCCCTACCCCACACATCCCTATCTTAGTTGGCTTTTCTCAGAACTTTCTGAAATCTACTGCATTTCTCTCCTTTTCCTCCCTCCTCCTCCCCTTTCTCATTTTCTTTTTTTCTTTCTTTCTTTTTGAGACTGGGTCTATGTAGCCCAGGTTGGCCTTGACCTTGCTATCCCAAGCCTCCCAAGTGCTGAGATTACAAGAAGTGTGCCCCACCATGCCCAGCTTGATCTTCTTAATTCTACTGTGTCGCTACATTTTATTGGTCCAAATCAGAAGAAATCCAGAATCTCAGGTCTCATTCCAGTCCAGTAGACTTTTCAAAAAATTCTCCAAATGATTTGTTAGCACATTAAAATCTGAGACACAGTGGACTAGTAGATATCGCAAACTTAATATGGTCAAAACAGAGTCCACACACCCTCTCCACACTTGCTCCACAACAGGCTTTGCCATCTAACTAAATGGCTAAAAAAAAAAAACTTCAGAGTTATCTTTGATAGCTAGTTATGTAGGCAAAAGTACCCAGAGTCCATGAAAAGGCAAGTGGGGCCAGGCACCAGTGGCTCATGCCTGTAATCCTAGCTACTCAGGAGGCAGAGATCCCAAGGATCGTGGCTCAAAGCCAGTTAGGGCAAACAGTTCATGAAACCCTATCTTGAAAATACCCAACACAAAACAATACTGGCAGAGTGGCTCAAGTAGTAGAGTGCCTGCTTAGCAAGCGTGAGGCCCTGAGTTAGAACCCCAGTGCTACCAAAAAAAACCCCAAAAAACAAAAGCCAAAGTGGCCTTGGCAACTACAATCTTTTAACTGGTCTTCCCAGACCCCACCAGCCGGAAGCCGGAGAATCGAGAGTCTCCGCCCGGGGCTCAGAGCTGGCCAGAAGCCTGGCTAATCTTTTTCTTTCTAACTAAAGTATTACTTACATGAAGTACACAAATGTGAAGTGTACAATCTGATGAACTGTTTATTAGAGATACACTTGTGTAACTACCACTCACACCAAGACACTAAGTAATCCTTTTCAAAACTTTATTTGAAGCCATGACATTCCCTTGCTTAAAACCAGCACACTTGGAATGAAGCCCAAACTCCCAAACCTGAATTACAAAGCCTCCTGTGATAGCAGGGTGCTGGTGGCTCATGCCTGAAATCCTTGAGGAAGAGATCAGGAGGATCCCAGTTCCAAATCAGCTGAACAAACAGTTCATAAGACTCTTGTCTCCAAAAAATCCATTGCAAAAAGGGATGGTGGAGTGGCTCAAGGTGTAGGCCCTGAGTTCAAATCCCAGAACCCTAAGGGGGGGGTGGGAACACCTCCCATGATTCAACTCCTATCTATGCCTCAAAATTTATTTCGTTTGGCCCTTCCCTCTTCCTCGCCATTTTCCCAACTGCCAGTCTTTAAATTCCTCCATTTGTACAGATGTTCTTTGATCTGGGTGTACATCCTTTGTCTTCTAAAGCACTTTTTGAAGATGTCCTGAGGGTTGACAGCTTGTAATTTCAAATGTCAATTCCCTGAGCAGGCAATCTAAAGTTACGCCCAAACACCTTTTATTATCTCGCCTTCATTACCTGCAGAGTGCTTATTATTTGTAATATTTTAGTAAGGTTTTTGTTTTGTTGTTTTTTACAGTACTGGAGATTGAACTCATGGCCTACTACTTGCTAGGCAAGTGTTCTACCACTTGAGTTATGCCCCCAGTCTGCTTATTTGTAATATTTTATCCGATCCGTATTGCCTAGAATATAGCCTCCTTTGGGCAGTTTTGTTAACAAAACTGGCACGTGATTGGTGCTCAACAAAACTTCTCATTGAAATATTAACATATGCTAAAATGGACAGTTAGCCAGAAGCAGCGTGGCTAGCACTCTGCTTTGAACCTAGTCAGTATTAAATGAGATAAAAGGCAATGGCAATTACATGTTCAATATTGCCTTCATTTTTCCTGAATTAAAACATTCTTACACAAGATGTTGGGATTGTTTTGCTTTTTACAAAAAGTGACTTTAAAAAGAAACTTAGAATCTTTCCTTTCAGAAAAATCAATTACGGCACAGCCATTCTAGATTCCATGGAACCAGCAAACGCGGCCCCGCCCTTCCGCAGACCCCACCAGCCGGATGCCGGAGAATCGAGAGTCTCCGCCCGGGGCTCAGAGCTGGCCCCGCGGCGGCGCGCAGCCCTACGTAAAGCGTGGGGTTTCGCGACAGCTCAGGCCCCACCCCTTTGGCCACATGTCGCGCAGATCTTCCCGTCGGACGCCGCGCCACCTCCTCGCGCTGCTTTACGAACTTAGAGCAGCGGCGCCCCGCCTCCAGTCTCCGTCCTCACCTCCCCGCCCCCTCCCAGTTTCGCGTCTCCCAGCCCGACGCGCCCGCTATAATCACGTGATTGGCTCATCCGGGTCCTTTGCGTTCTCTCTCCCTCTCCCAACATGGCGGCCTCAGGTGAGTGAGCGGCCGAGCGCGGCCAAGGACTGAGCTCCAAAACCACCCACTGGGCTTGATCCACTCAGTGCTGGACTCGGGTAGTGGGTCACACCGGTTTCCTTCGGACTTGGAGGCTGCGGCATGCTGGCGGCATGGCCATGTTAGGTTATTGCCTCGGGATGTTTGTGGGGAGGGGAAGGTGTCCTTCCCCTCCCCCCCCCACACACCCTTTTCACCCCGTCTGCGCGAGGTTGGAGTAGGCAGTAATGGTGGACTCTGGCTTGAATTGGAGGAGGAAGCACAGAAAGATCTGCGGGAGGCGCGAGGCCTTCTTTTAGATGTGAAGCACTGCGCCCGCGTGAAGGCGTGGAGGAAGGAAGGAGGCGGTTGGCGCGCGGACGGGTGCACATTAGACTAGGTCTCGGAGGCGCGAGGCCGTTGCTGACGGGAGTGGGGGCAGGGGAATGGGGGGGGCGTTAGAACGCCAGCGCTAGTCGGTGGAGGGGCGGAGGAAGGCGGCGGTGCGCGTGCGCGGCAGCAGAGACGGGGGTAGTGCAGACAGCGCGCCTTAAAAAGCTTGCGCTGAAGTCCAGATGGGAAGCTTCTAAGCTCCTGGGTTGCACTCATTTATGACCTTGCACTTTAGGCTTTACACCTTTTAGAGTGTAGCACGGTTCCTGTACATCTCCGTGAGGACCTGTGTTAGGTTTAGAGGTTAGCGCTATTAGAGTTAGTACGGGTAGGGATCCAGTGTGTTGCACCCACGTGTTAAGCGAGAGGAAGGAAGGCTAGACACCAAGGTTTCCCTCTAGCCTTTTTTTCCTCCTCTGATTCAATGAGCACATTTTTATTGAGCGTAGACTATATGCCGGGCACAATTCTAAGTGTTGGCTATACAGCAGTGAACAAGATCAGGTCCCCCTGCTTTGGGGGAGCTCCACTTTGGTTGAACATGTAGTTCAATGATAGGGTTCAGCTCTTTTTTTTAAACGTAAAACTTCTTGGAGGTGCTGTTAAAATATGAGCTAGAGATTTCTCTTTTAGATTTGGGCAATATCGCTGCCTTGTAAGTTTACTTTCATTTATAGTTGACTGATCAGCCAGTGGGCTTTTTAACATTTTGTGGCATTAACTCCAGTTTGGGGCATGTCGTTTCTTTTCCTTAAAAATGACACCTCATCCTGCAAAACTTTGAATTGCTGTCTCTGAGCACTAGTTTCTCAACTATGAATTCATTTATTATTACAAGGAAGCTGAAGGTTATGGTTGTTCACTGAATTGAGGTGCATTTAGGCCTAACTTTTCATTGGTGTAGCACTTAATTGACAAAGCACTTCTGTGTACATTATCTTATTTGAACCTCTGGGAGGTAATGTCAGGAAATGGTATTTCCCAGGTGACGAACATTTATTCAAGGTCACACTGCTTGCTGGTGGCAGAGCGGGGTCAAAATCTTAGACACTCCTGACTCTTCTCCTTTACCAAGTGTGAGATGCTGACCAAAAGCATAATCTAAAGCTTGTCAAAATGTTTATATCTTAAATTGACTGTGAAAAAGTACTTATTTGGCCAATGTGTGCTACCTTGACCGTTTACTAGAATTTAGTGAAAAGTCTGCTTTCCTTGTTCTTAACTTTTGTGGAGTTTTGAGAGGTGGAAGACATAGCAATCCATTTCCTTAGTTGTACCCAGTTTAATGTAGTACAGACTGGTTAAGAAGGTTTGTTCAGTGATGTCCCCTTCTCTTGTTCTTCTCTTTAGAAGCCCTCACTTTAATTCAGGTCAGTAAAGCTTTTTAGCGTCTTCAGGTATGTGAGCACAAGGTTACATTCTATTTTGCTCTTGAGGAATTTAGAATTTATCAACTTTCTTTTTCCTTGAATCTTTTTCCAGTTGCATTGATTGTTGTGACATACACAACCAGAGGATGGAAATGGGCCTTTTAATTTTCTCTGTGAAAAATCCATGATACAACTTCATAGGTCTTTTTTTACTATTCAGTGAGACCAAAAAGTCTTTGCAGCAATACTGGTTTCTGATGCCACCCGGTATTGACCTTCAGTGACTGAAAGTATCTCAGAACTAATTATTGAGTAAGGTAGTTGGAATAGTTCCTAGTAAACTTGACTCATTGAGTCTGGTCATTTGATTCTTTAGATTGGCTTCTTTAAAGGGATACAAAAATAAGAGAGTTGGAACTGTGTGTGGTGGCATGGGGATCTTGAGTTAAAGGCCAGCCTGAGCTACATAGTGACACCCTGTCTCAAAAAAAAAAAAAGTGGTTTTCATTGTGACTATTTTAGTACAGTTAAAGTTAGTGTTTTTGTTTTTGTTTTTTTTCTTTGCTGTACTGGGGTTTGAACTCAGAGCCTACACCTTGAGCCACTCCACCAGCCCAGCCCTTCTCTCTCCCCTCCCCCTTACAACCCCCTCCCCTAGACTGAGAGTCTCCCAAACTTCCCTGGGCTGGTTTTGAACCGCTGTCCTCCTGATCTCTGCCTCCTGAGTAGCTACAGACTACTCATACAGGATTATAGGCTTAAGCCATTGGCACCAAGCTTGCTAATTAGCACTTGGAGCCCAGTTTCTTCATTTGTAAAGTGGGCTCTCCCCTTACCAAAAAATGTTTGATACAGGTTGGCATTTACAATTGCAAATTTTAAAGTGCAGAGTCCATGCTTTGGTCTTTCATTTGCATAATGTTTATGTGTGATTTCTTATTTGATTTTTCTGGAAAGCTGATGGTGTTCCGTAGTGGTTTTCATACTGTGCTGTCCTTTGTAGTTAAGTGACTTCAAGGTTTGCCATTATATGTTGTTTACAAATAACCTGTTTTCAAATCCCATTCTACCATGAATTTGTTATTCTCCAAGTAGGGTACTTAAATCAGAAGGTTGAGACCAAAATACCTTACGAAAATCCAAATACAGAGTACTGTCAATTAAAGTAAAACTATTTTTAAGTAATGTTAGTGAAAAGAAAACTGTCTTTAATATATATACGTGTGTGTGTGTGGTGAGTGTGGTTTTTAAAGACAACACAGAGACGTACTTGTAATTAGGTATGTGTGTACACATTTATGGATATACACTCCAGTCAGTTTCTAGATTTATAATTTAAAAAAAGTTAATGAGAGTCCATGGAGGATAAAGGAAAAGGCAATATGGCATTTTCCTCATTGTCAAGGTGAAGAAATTGGGCACAGAAAAAAGAGGTCATGTAACCGAACACAGGAGCGATGAAGTTTATTAGTCCTGGCTTAGACTTTATTCTATACTGAACTATGTAATGTAGTAAAGATGAACTCTTTCAGCATGATTGTTTTCATGACTGGGCTCTACGAGCAGTATAATTAGTCTAATTCCTAAACACTGTTATTTGGATGGATTGGTTGCATTTATACAATCCTGTAAGTTTGAGGAGTCATTTTCTAATCATTACTTTTTCTGGATAGTGTGGATTCGCTTTAATAACAGCTTTATTCAGATATAATTTATGTATCATAAAATTTATTAAAGTGTGCTGTTTAGCAGGCTGAAGTGGTACATGCTTGTAATCCTAGCACTCAGGAAACTGAAGCAGGAGGATTGAGAGTTTGAGGCCAGCCTGGGCTATCTCAGAATGACTGAATGAATAAAGCGCACAATTTGGTGGGCCTTGCACATCTTAGGTACTGACTTTACCACCAAATTACATACCCAGCTCTGAAGGTGTTTAGTGTCTTCACAGAGCTATCCAGTAGTCATTATCCTAGTTTGAGAACATTTACATTGCTTAGTAGTCACTTCCCTTCCTCCCCAACTGGTAGTCTTATTTTTTCTTTGGATTTACTTGTGGGGTTTTCTTTTGGTTTTGGGGTTTTGGTTTTTTGAAGTATTGGGGTTTGATCTGAGGGCCTTGCACTTGCTAGGAAAACGCAATATGCATTCCCCTTCTCCCCGCTAGTCCTTTTTCCTTTAGTTACTTTCTGAATAGGGTTTCACATTTATGCCTCTGCTGGCCTGGTCAGTGATCCTCCTATTTATGCTTCCTCAGTAGCTGGAATGATGGGCACATGGCACTATACCTAGTTTATTCATTGAGATGGGATCTCACTAACATTTTGCGTAGACTGGCCTCTAACCCTAATCATCCCAGTCTCCACCTCCCAGGTAGCTGGGATTCTAACCATGTACCATAGTGCCCAGCTTGGATTTAACTGTTTTGAGTATTTGGTATAAAAGGTTTCATGTAATGCATGGTTTGTGTGACTAACTGCTTTCATTTAGTGCTAAAATGTTTTCATTTCTTTTTTATTGCTAAATAATCCCTATTTTTATGGATTACTACCTTTTATTAGTTGATGAGCATTTTTGTTGGTTTTTCCTTTTTTGGCTGTTATATAGTGAACATTCCTATATAGGTTTTTGTTAACACTTTCTGCCTTTCTTAGCTTACTTAGTTGCCAAAACATTCAGAAAGGATGAAAGTCTGGTAAAATAGATGGATATTAAGACTAGCAAGATCTAAACTTAAGGAATTTAATGTTTGACAAAACTTCATCTGAATGTTAAGAGCATGATAGTTTATAATGGTGGGTAGCAAGTCTGCATTTTGTAACAAGAAAACTTTATTTTGCTTACAATGTGTGTGTGTGTGTGACTAGTTTGGAAATCAGGGCACTGAACTCGGTTTTGCACTTGCACAGTAGGTATTCTGCTGCTTAAGTCACATCTCCAGTTCATTTTGCTCTTTTTGTCTGGTTATTTTTGGAGATGGATCCTCAAAAACTATTTGTCTAGGTTGGCCTCAAACCACGATCCTCCTGATAATCAGCCTCCCAGGTAGCTGGGATTATAGGCTCATAATTCCTGTGCCTGGTGCTTACACTGTTTTAAGGGGTCCTCTGTTAAGTGCCAGCCGCCAGTCTAGGTTTCTGTAATTACCAACACCTGTCCTTTGGTGCTTTTCTTTTTAATACAGTGGAGTAATAATAGGGAAATATTGTGAGGGGAAAATAGAAGAATTCATATTTTATACGTGCTACAACCTGGTAATTCTGAAAACTCAGTTTATTGCAGCCACTTTGCTGCTAGTCTACTTTATGTAGAACTATCATTTTCTTTTCACTTACCCTTTTATTTATTGAAGTGGAAATAGCACTTAGAACAGCGCCTCCTGATTGAGGGGTAATTTTATCATCTCCTCAGCTCCAAAATATTTGTCAGTGTCTGGAGTCATTTTAGGTTCCCACAGTGGGGTGGGTGTTGCTAGTAATTAGAGACCAGAAATACTGCTATACATTTTGAAAGAAATCCTGTCATAAAATTTAAGCTGATTAGTTGTATTTATTATTGCAGAAGGACAGTAAGTTCCAGGTCAGCCTGGGCTACATAGCCAGAACCTGTCTCAAAAGTGTATTGTCTCTTGCTTAAGGACTTTTAGACTTAAACAGTTTTGGAAATGCTTTATTTTTAAGATTTTTTTCCCCTCTTGGGTTTGGCCTTAATAATTGGATGAGTTTTATTTTATGAGGTGATTGATTGGTTAACCACCTCATGTAAGATTTAGGGAGCATGAAAGAATTGGACCAATTAATTAATTATGGCAAGAGATTGAACCCAGCACTGGTGGCTCACGCCTGTAATCTAGCTACTCAGGAGGTGCAGAGATCAGGAGGATTGAGGTTGAAAGACCCTATCTTGAACAACAACAACAAAAAAAACACACAAAGGGGGCTGGCCAGTGGCTCAAGGAGTGCCTACCTAGCAAGCATGAGAAGCTTGAAGCCATGAGTTCAAGATTCCAGTGCTGCCAAAATAAAAAGAGATTAATATACCTGAAGCATTAAACAATATTTTATTTATAAATCAGAGAACACTGTTGAAATCCTAAACATGCACTGGTCTAGGTAGTGAAGGAGCAAGGGCAGGGGTTTAGATAACATTTTTTCTCAAAATTAGTGGGATTAAAAAGGAGTAGGACAAACTGGCACCCACTTCAGGTTTATTGATTTTGCTTTTAAGGGTCACTTTTAAATCTACTTATATTGCGACTGAGTCAGTGCTGTTGGTACATTTAAGAAAGATCTTGTAAACGAATTTTAGCGTGTCTTTTCTTTGGGTGTTTTTACAGTGCTTTGAACCCTGAGCCTTACGCATGCTGGTCCTGCACTCTACCGCTGAGCTATATGTCCTCACCCTGTGTGTTTTTGAAACAGGCTGACCTCAAACGCCTCATCCTTCTGCCTTAGCCTACTGAATGCTGGGATTATAGGCATACAACACTATATGGTAGTGAACCTTTTAAATTCAACAGTAGTTTAATGTTTTAGTCATTTTTTTATTTTGAAATTTCAAATTAAGAGTGGGGGGGGTCAGTGGGACTAGGGTTTGAACTCAGGGCTCGCACTTACAAAGCAGGAACTGTACTATTTGAGCTACAGCTCTGGTCCATTTTGCTCTGGTTATTTTTGAAGGTAAGGTCTCATGAACTTTTTGCCCAGGCTGGCCTCAAATCATGATCCTCCTTATCTCAGCTTTGAAGTAGCTAGGAGTACCTGCTTGGTCCACCAGTGTCCGGCGTGAGTATGGGTTTTGTCAAAAGAGTCAAGAGGTGATTGGCCACCAATGGCTCATGCCACCTAGCTACTTAGGCAGAGATGAGAAGGATCAAGGCCAGCCTCTGGCAAATACTTATCTCAGAAATACCCACAATAAAGGGCTGGTGGAGTGAGTCAAGCCCTGAGTTCAAACCCCAGAACAGCAACAAAAAGTTAAGAGATTAAAAGGTGAGAAACTCTCATCTGCAAAATTGAAAAAAGGCAGGCTATTTCCAGATTCATTTTTAGTGTACACAAAACAAAAGAAAAGGGGGTACCTTGCCCTCCCCTCATTATTTGAACTGACCACCAGTTCTGTTTTTATTCTCCCAGTGGCAGGACAAGTGAACGATTGGATATTAGCTGATGATACTAGATTAAGCCTCAGGCAAGCATCATACTAATTCATCCTAGGCACTCTAAGTATTCTGTTTCACGTCTGGTTCCAGTTAACTTACTGGAAGTTCTTGTAGATCTTTGTATATAAACTGGGGCAGTGCTGTAGGACCTAACCTCTGATTAACTACTTTTAAACCTGTAGAATTCACAGCTAGGATGGAATCAGTGTGATCTGGTTGGACAGAAATAATACTTTTGAAGCCAGATTAATGTTAAGTCACTTGAGAAATATGAAAACTTCATACTAATAGTCATTTTTTAAAATATTATTGCAGCATATTTGTCTGACTTGTATATTTGAGAAGGCTGTGTGTAACATTCATAGCAAACAGATCATCTTTATTTCCTGACAATTGAATTTGAGATAGCATCCTACTGGTAAGCAAGTGGTGTATCAAGTTCCAGATATTTAATGCTCTTGGGTTGAAAATTAGATGGAAATTGGGATATGGATGAAGAATTCACAGCTATAAAAGCCATGAAGCTGGTCTTTGTTATCAAACAGAGCTATTTAATTTTTTTCTTGGTCTTTTTGAGGCAGGGTCTTGTTTTGTACCCTGACTAGCTTCAAACTTGCCTCAGTCTCCCTAGTGCTAGGATTACAGATATGTCCCACCACACTGGACCTTACTTTTCTCTTAATCATGTATACTATTGGGCCATTTCTAGAACTTAGTCCCTTCTGTTCTTCTGAATTAGCTGTTGATTGTGCCATCTCAGAAGTTCTGAGAATCGAGAGCAAGGGTCAGGCCACTAAATAGAGCTGTTTGGAGATTGCTAAATATTTCATAAGCATGGAAAACATCTAAATGGGTTGGTTGTTAGGGTATTCTTGTAGTTTTCTTTTAGTATCACATCTTAATATGCAGAATTAAGGTAGAGAAGGGAGAGAAATTTAGGGTATTATACGAGTCTTACCTAATGCTTTCAAATAACACTGAGTATAACACAGTACTATAGCTAAGATAACCTGCCATAGAATTAATAGCTGCTTAGAATTTAAGATCCCTATGGTATAATAGGAAAAGCTCTGAGCTTTAGTTTTAACTCTGCCACCTAATATCTCAAACTTTAGGATAGCCATTTAACATCTCAGGCTTAACTTCCCTTCTCTATAAATTGATAATCATGATTCCTCCTTCACCTGGCTATTTTACAGGTATCAAAGAATCCTCACAAGTGCTATACAGAGTATTACATAGAGTAGGAATTTTGTCTCTCTTCTTTGCATCCACAGAGCAATGACTGTAGAAATTTTTTTTTTTTTTTCTTTGCGGGACTGGCATTTGAACTGAGGACCTACACCTTTAGCCACTCCACCAGCCCTTTTGGTTATGGGTTTTTTTGAGATAGGGTCTCACTCACTATGTGCAGGAGAATCAAGGTTCAAAGCCAGCCCAAAAATATCTTACAGAAAAAGGGCTGGCTCAAGGTTGTGGACCCTGAGTTTGAGCCCCAGTACTAAAAAAAAAAATCTCGATTAGTAAATGAGTGAATATAGAAGAAAGTGCCCCAGAAAGTTGCCCCAGCCCCAGTCATGCTCCCCAGAGGTTATTATATATTTATTGTTGGATATCCTTCTCTTTTCAGTACATAACATGTGTTTTCATGTAGTCTATATCCCACAACTTTTTGGAGATAGGGCCTTACTGTGTTGCCCAGGCTGGCCTTAGACTCACATCTTCCTTCTTTAACTTCTTGAATATAAAGTTTTTCACTTACTGCTGGATTCTTTCTGGACTGTACTGTGTTTTTTCTTTTCATAGTTATATCTGCATGGTATTCCTCCTTATAAATGTGCCAGTCTTTCATGTGGCCCCTTATGTTGCTTTTTATTATTTTGTGGTACTGCGGTTTGAACTCAGGGCCTACACCTTGAGCCACTCCTCTAGCCCTTTTTGGTGATGAGTTTTTTCAAGATAAGGTCTCAAGAACTATTTTCCCATGCTGACTTTGAACCACGATCCTCCTGATCTCTGCCTCCTGTGTAGCTAGGGTTGCAGGACCCCACTTTATGTTGAGCGCCCAGTTTATGTTGCTTTTGTTGTAAATGTACTTAATGATGCTATATTGTACAACTCTGTAAGTAACTTGTATCCTTGAATAATGTTTATTTTGTCTTTTTAAAACAGCAAAAAAGAAGAATAAGAAGGGGAAGACTATCTCCCTAACAGACTTTCTGGCTGAGGATGGGGGGACTGGTGGAGGAAGCACCTATGTCCCCAAACCAGTCAGCTGGGCTGATGAAACAGACGACCTGGAAGGAGATGGTAATTTTTCTTTTAGTATTATGCTTAAATTTTTATTATCTTCTATAAGACCTATTTCGTAATTAATTCCTATCAGTGGTAATTTGAAAAGATCTTGCTCATTTTGTAGAACCTGAAATCTTTGTGTTTTATAGTCGTAAGTTTAATCTCAGGTTGACTATCAGACTGCAATAGAAGAGCTTTGTGCTAATCCTGGCTCTTTTTTTTCTTCACTTAGTATCCTTTTAGGCCTCATTTTCTTCATTTGAACAGTAGAGACTAGATTATCTTGTTTAAGTTCCTTTTAGGTCTGAAATTCTATGTTCTCATAAAGTGGTATTTCAGTGTAATCTAACTGTGTATTCTCGAAGCTAAGGAATATATTAGTTCTAGGAGCTGTTGGTATGAAGCTGAGGTAAAAATGGCCTTAGAGAAAGGAATGGAAATAGTAATCATGGTGAGAAAATTTAGAAGAGTGAAATTATCAGGTCTGGCATCAATCTGATCAACTTTTTCTTTTCTTAAAACTTTATTGTGGACTAAAAGAATGCTTTTTCTTATGTGACCTGTTTTCATAATGAAAATAGGAAACTGTATGTAAGTAATACTTCCTCTAAGTATTGATAACTGAAGTACAGATTCATGAAAACCGGACTGTGTGGGAGATTGTTTGGTGGGTTGATTGTTGATTTATTTGGTGGAATAGTTTGTTTTGGTTTTTGTTTGTTTGGGTTTTGGGAAGATAAAATGAAGAAAATGCTCTGTCCAGTCTAACAAGTAGGAATACGAGAGTCATCAATAAGTGGTTAGTAGATTTTGGAGTGATAGGAATCCAAGTTTGAGTGCTAGCTCTACTATCGAACGATAAGGTGGGATATAATGAATATAAATAACATTCAGTTAAGAGAGGACTGGGCTTTCATAGGCCTTTTGATACATAGAAACAGAGACCATGAATACTGAGGATTGCTTTTTGTTTACTATTTTGATTGTAATATTTCAAAAGCATTTTCTTTGTAAATTACCTTCGTTACTAAGCCCCCACCTTTTTGGTCTGTTTCTTGTCTGATCACAGTGTTTAATACTTGGTATTTAGCATGGATTCTCTTGTTCTAGAAGAGTACTAAGGAAGGCTTCATCTGATTTCTCTTATTGGCTCTTCTATCCTAGTTTCAACTACTTGGCACAGTAATGATGATGATGTCTATAGAGCACTTCCAATTGACCGTTCGATCCTTCCCACTGCTCCACGGGCTGCTCGGGAACCCAATATCGACCGGAGCCGTCTTCCCAAATCACCACCCTACACTGCTTTTCTGGGGAACCTGCCCTATGATGTGACAGAAGACTCCATTAAGGAATTCTTTAGAGGATTAAATGTAAGCATAAGCATTTTAGGCTGTTTGTTGGATATTGAGTATAGTGACTAAAGTGAGTTAGTTGTGGAATTGGCAGATGTCTTTAAATGAAAAACCAAAAAAGCAAGTAAGGGTGCAAGGAATATACTGAATTGTGTTTTGGTTTTTTTTAAGTGTTTGAAATTCAAAATCTAATAGGTATACAATAAAGTTCTCTTCTATCTACCAGTTTATCTCCCAGAGACATCTAGGTTTTTGTATATTCTTTAGGGAAACTCATTTACATGTACAGTGATCCTTGTGTGGGTAAAAAAAAAAATCTTCTCTTTACTCCTTTAGATCAGTGCAGTTCGTTTACCGCGTGAACCCAGCAATCCAGAGAGGTTGAAAGGTTTTGGTTATGCCGAGTTTGAGGACCTGGATTCCCTGCTCAGTGCCCTGAGTCTCAATGAAGAGGTAAAGAAATTAAAGAGTGAGGGAGTATGGGGAGAGCTTACAAATCTGGTGTTCATACCCATGGCATACCAGGTCTCTGATGAAATCTTGCATTGGTTCACTCATCTTTTGCCTCCGTTCTGTGGCTTTGCTTTTTAAAAATAATCTGACTTGGTAAACAAATAGAAAAGTCATGTTAACCAGTTTGGTATTAAGGCATTATCTCAGGAATAGGGTGAGGTAACTTACTAGTAGAGCACTTGCCTAGCATGTTTAGTCCCCAGTACCACACCACCACCCACCCCACCACCCAAAAAAAAAATAACACCTTCATCTCATTTTCAAAGTATTGCAATGATGGAGAGCTTAGAAACATACTTGTAATATATGTTCCTAGGAATGTTTTGCAAAGAGGATGACAGTAAATTTCAGTCTGATGTGTAGTAACTGGTTTGGTTTGGTTTGGTTTAGTTTTTGGTTTTAAGAGTCTGATTTAAGGCTGATTTAGAACTCCTGGTCATACTCTTTTTGGGAATTGCCTATAAGTGTGTTTTCTTAGTTTATGTGTGGGAAGAAAAGTCTTTTTCTTTAACTCTATAAACGCCTCATTATTTCTTGGAAGGGCAATTTCTTGTGCCATAATTGTATAGTACAAACCTGCTATTTGGCAAGATTGAATATAAACAACTCATAGAAATGTTTTTACTGTTTGATGATTAAATACCATCATGATGATCTGACATCACTAACAAATAGAGGTAAATATTCACATACTTACTTAAATAAGTATGGAGAGCTAAGATTGTCCTGAGTTTTTCGTCTTGGGTCTTTTTTATTGTTGTTTGAGATAAGGTCTCTGTAGCCCAGACTGGCCTGGAATTCCTGCCTTGGGTCCAGAATGCTGAAAGTACAGGAATTTGCCAACATACCCATCTTCTTGGATCATCTTTAGATTTTATTAACATTGTAATAATTGCACTCAGTCTGGATAAGAAAACAAATATCCTGGTCTGGGGATGTGGCTCAGTGGTTAGAACACTTGCCTTGCATGTGTGAGATTCTAGGTTCATTCCCCAAGAACCTCAAAAAAAAGGTAAAAAAAAAAATTGTTAGTAACTGAAGTTTGCTGTGTTCCCGGTTGCTTAACATATCATGATTCACACTTAAGAGTTACTTTGTTGTTTTAGAGAGTTCATCATAGTGGCACTTAATATAATTTGGGTGTTTTGTTGTATGTGTTTTGTTCCCCCCCCCCACCTTTTTTTGAATCTAGGGTTGGAACTCAGGACTCCCTCATGCTATACATGTACTGTGTCACTGAATTAGAGCTATCATAACTCAAACTTTCTTGATGATCTTTTATTTACTTTTTGACAGTATGGGGTGGGAGGGGTGCAGGAGCTGAAGTCAAGGGCCTTGTGCTTGCTAGGCAGGTGCTCTATCATTTGAGCCACTCTACCAGCCCAATTTGGGATGTTTTAAACTAAAATTCATTAATACCCTTTTCTGTTTTCTTCTTGGTGGTACTGAGGTTTGAAGTCAAGGCCTCACGCTTTCTAGGTAGGCGCTGTATCACTTGAGTCACTCCATCAGCCCTTTTTTTGTGTTGAGTATTTTCTAGATAGGGTCTTCAAAACTGTTAGCCTGGGCTGGCGTTGAACCATGATCCTTCTGATCTCTGCCTCCCAAGTAGCTAGGATTACGGGTATGAGCCAGCAGTGCCTGGCTTTGATACCCTTCTTTGATACCCTATGAAATTAGGAAAAATGAATAGTAGAATTAATTGTGTTCAAAGTATATAAGTAATGATGTAGGAAAGGAAATCAGGGTATCCCTGGAGAAACTTGACGTATCCAAAGGTAATATTGGATGAAAGAACCTGAGCTTACATAGGTGGCACATTTTATGCAGTTTACTTGTAAATCGTAAGGCTCAATACTCATTAGTTTAAAAATTCCATTCTGTAAGATTTGGCTTTGTAAAGCTAGTAATATAACTGACTTGATACTCATTTAAATTTGTCAATTCAAAGAGTTTATTTCAGTTTTCAAGTCCTTTTGTGGGTTGTTGTTTTTTTTTTTTTTTTCAAGGTAGGGTCTTGAGAAGGAACTGTTTTCCTGGGCTGGCTTCAAACCAAGATTCTGCTGATCTCTGCCTGCTGAGTAGCTAGGATTACAGGCGTGAGCTACCAGCGCCCAGTTCAGTTTTCAAGTCTTTGAAGGAGTCTTTAGTCATCATATTGGGGGTGTTGGTAGCGTTCTTCCTTTATCCTTCCCCCCCCACCCACCGTGCTTCTGCTGTGCCTGTGTGTTAAAGATGTGTGGCAAATGATGTAAAGGGTTGGTTAATGTGGTCCTGTGCTCTCAGTCTCTAGGTAACAGGAGAATTCGAGTGGATGTTGCTGATCAAGCACAGGATAAAGGTGAGAAAACTGGTAGAATTTTCCTGTTTTAGTAATGGTCCTAGGATGTCAAAAGCAGAAGTGTCCTTTCCCAGAAAATTTTAATATAGTGGTGGGCCCACCTAAATCTAGAGTAACACTTCTCAACCAGTTTTGCTCCATAGGAACTTTTGGCAGTGTTTCAGGGCAACTGAAGGGAGTGCTGCTGTTGTCTAATAGGTGGAATCCAGTATTAATTCTGTGATAGATGGGACAGCTGCTCCACACCTAAAAATTACCCAACTCAAAATGTTAGTAGTGTCAAGATTGAGAAGCACTGACTAATCTAAATGGACCTTAGATTGGTTTCCTATTCATGTTTGGATCACAAGAGGAGCCTCATGTCTTTCAGGGACTCCTGGGCTATATAGAATATGGGACAGGTAAGCGTTAAGCCAGGAGAAGTAGGTGTGAGGAAAAGAATGGCCCAGTTAGGTTGGAGAGTGTAGTTAGAGGTCCTGGGACGCTTAAAGATCCAATGTACTACAAAAAAGAAATGGGAAAGATGAGCGTTTTCTGTGTGTATAAGACACAGTGAGAAGCTTTTTGATGATCTGACTTTGGGGGTGGGGGGCGTTGTTTGTTTGTTTTACTGTATCTACAGACAGGGATGATCGTTCTTTTGGCCGAGATAGAAATCGGGATTCTGACAAAACAGACACAGACTGGAGGGCCCGTCCTGCCACAGACAGTTTTGATGACTACCCTCCTAGAAGAGGTGATGATAGCTTTGGAGACAGTAAGTTCATTTTTATGAAGTTAGTTTCTTCGGCGCTCTTGGATCTATTTGGTGATAGGACAAATGTATTACAGGTGATCCTGTTTAGAGGTAAAAGGTGGGGAATGCAGGAGGTGGAAAGAGACTTGTTTTGTTTTGTTTTGAAACAGGATCTTGCGTTTGCCTAGACTGTCTTGAACACTGAAGCTCAAGCAGTCCTCCTGCCTTGACCTCCTAAGTATCTAGAGGCCCAATTAGAAAAAAATATTTTTATAATAACTAAAAGAATTGATGGGTATTGAAAAAGAATGTGATAAATTTCTAACTTTTTTAAAAGCCTTATCAACAAAAGAATAAAAGGTCAGGCATTTCTTTCTGAACACAGTTGTTTATAAAGAAACAAAATAGACTGCAATATAAGCTATTTGAAATAAAGAGTTCAGCAAGATGCTGAGTGAAAAACATACAAAAAATAACTTCATTACTATATACAATCAACTAAAATGTAACTTTTTAGATGACTTTAAAACTCATTCACTTAAAAAATACTAAGTGTAGGACTGGAAGTGTGCCTGCTTTGTAAGCATGGAGCCCTGATTTCAAACCCCAGCCCCACTAAAAAACAAACAATAATACTAAGTGTCTATCTACTATAAGCCATAGGCTTAAGATACAGCAGTTGGCAAAAAAAGTTCTGTCATCATTGGGTATACAATATGGTAGAGGAGAATTTAGGTGGGGAAAAATGGAAAAGACAATTGAGAATGTCATGATAGTAATACAGGCGAATTACAACTTTTACATATGCCACCTTAATTGAGCAAAAGGATTATAAAACCTTTTATGTGGAAAACTTTGTTAAAATACATGGGCAAAAGTGAACGCTATCATTTGAAAATAATGGAATACCTTTATAACATACATGTAATGATGAGAGAAAACTTTAAAATCTTAGGGGAAAAGTATTTGTAAAATTTTGAACACTGTACTGTATAGTGTTAATCCACAAATTATAAAAATATAAACACTGTGGTAAACTTATCATCCTGTGTTGTAGGTGGGGTTAGAAGGAATCCTGTTAATTTGTGGCATATTAGTTTTAAAAATATATGGGAAATATTCACTAAACCTAAGTGGAATTACAAATTTGTCATGATTATTTCTTTTTGATATATTTTAAATTTTTAAGTAAGAATAAATTAAAAGAATTTAAATTCACAAACATTTTGATTTTATGAGACACCTAGTGAATTCCATCAAAGGTAATTGGGAAAGTAGTAAAAGATGATTCCTATTAAAGAGGAGTTCTTAGCTGGGTGCTGCTGGCTCATGCCTGTAATCCTAGCTACTTGGGAGGCTAAGATTGGGGATCGAAATTTGAGGCCATGCAGAGAAAAATGGAGTACAGTATGCCTCAAGTGGTAGAGCGTCTGTTTTGCAAGTGTGAAGCCCTAAGTTCAAGCCCCAGTACCCAAAAAAGGAAAGGGGAGAACCCTTAATGAAATATGGAAGAAGAAAGAAGGGATAAGGCAAAGGTCAGAAGTTGCTAAATCCACAAATTTATGTCTGACTTTACAATCAAGTCTTTATGACCCAACCAAACCTTGGGGAGAAGTTCCTTTCAGCAATTATGCAAGGGGGAGTCTATTGTTAACAGGAAGAAATGGCTCTTAAAAGAAAAAACACTCAGAAGAAGGGTCCTGTTTTTTAGTCAAGAGAAATGATTATTTTCTCATCTGACACCTTGAATTTTGAGAAGCAGGATGGATAACAGAAAACAGTGAGTGTGGTGTTATCATCCAAAGCTAGCTATTAGTTAAAAGTCCCTGATTATACCCTGAGGACAGAGACTTCTGTCCCTGGGCATTAGGCTGGAAAAAGAAAAATGGGAGGAGGTATATAGAATATTACTATAAAATCTTAACAGCATCCTAATGTGCTGCTTTTCTTAGCTATGGATCTGAGTTTTCACAAAGTTAAAATATTTCGTAGGTTTTGTTTTTTCTCTTAGTGCTGGAGATTGAGATAAAGACTTGGTATGTGCTAAGCATTCTGCACTGAGCTACACTTGCAGAATATTTTTTGTTGTTTTGGTTTTTTTTCCTGAAACTGTCTTGCTGTGGAGTCCAGGCTGGCCTTGAACTCAAAATTCTCCTGTCTTTGTTTCCCAGGTGCTAGGGTTACAGACATGTACTGCCATACCTAGCTATAATTCCATATTGTCTAAATCAAGTATCAAGTTCATCTGCTCCTCCAGAAATTAAAAACATAAACACATGGCTAGTTTGGAAGGTATTCTGTTTTAGGCTCTCCTGTTTATTTTATAAACATTAGCATTCCTTCCATTTATAAAATATCAAGGAATGTTATGTCTGGTCACATAGAAAAGTTGTTTTTAGTTATGTGAAATGTGATACTTTTTTACAGTTTGTTCTTAGCCAGGCATGGACAGCTCCTGTCTGTAATCCTAGCTACTCAGGAGGGAGAGATCAGGAGGATCACAGTTCAAAATCTGCCCCGGCAAATAGATTAAAAGACCCTATCTCAAAAATACCCAACACAAAAAAAGGGCTGGCAGAGTGGCTCAAGTGCTAAGAGTGCCTACCTAGCACGCGTAAGGTCCTAAATTCAAACCCCAGTACCAAAAAAAAAAGTTAATCCAAAGAAGACATTTCTACTCTTGAGTATATTAACTTCAGCTCTCTATAAAAATTTCATGACATAAGCAAATTGAAAAAGGGCAGTAGTCACAAACTGATGCTGTGGCACATGTCTATAAAATCCCAGCTATTTGGGACACTGAGGCACACAAGGATCACAGGCTTAAGAAAAGTCTGAGCAACATCAAGCCCCCATCTAATTAATTAATTAATAAGAAAGATCCCTGTTAGGCCTACACACATTACTAGCCCTCAAAATGTATGAGGGGGAATTTGGGCTTGCAAAACAGGCGCTCTACCACTTGAGCCATACTTTCAGACAATATTGCTCTGATTATTTTTGGAGATGGAGTCTCAAACTTTTACATTTGGGGATCTTCTGACACTGGTAAGCATGGGTGTGAATGCACTTATAACATGCTTTTTTAAATGTGTCATGAGCACATTTGGTGAATATTATTGGCAGTTTTGATAGCTGCTTTGTATAGATACCCTGTAATTTATTTAACCTGCAACTTGTGTGTTCCACAATTTTACTACTATAAACAGCATTGCAATGAATGTCCTTGTAGATGTGTCTATCTATATCATTATTTCCTCAATAAATTGCTACAGTTTGCATTACTGACACAAGAGAGGAGGATGTAAACAATTTTAAACCTTTTACTGCATCATTAAAAAACAATTCCAGAGTGTACTGTTTTAAATTACGATTAGTAGGATGGGGGTTGACTCATGCTCCACCGGCACTGTATGTTTTATTTATTCTTTGCCCTTTTAGCAGTAGAAAATGATAACCAATTCAGTTTTTTTCAAAATTGATAGTTGATAAACCCTTTGTTATATAGTATATATATATTCCCCCATTTTATTTGCCTTTCAGATTTATGGTATGTTTGTTTATTTCCTATGCTGAAGTTTTAAAGGTGGTCTCTGAATGGTTGTTGGGTATGAAGCATAGAAAATGCCAACTGTATTCCAATATTTTGTGCTTACTACTTTATACTTAATTTTTTATTTCTGACTCACTTCTAAATTGTTAGCCCAGCAAAATTTATGTTGCTGGGGAAATATTTTGAAGAAACTGAGACATCAGTGAAAAGGAACTCATGAAACCAAATTGATTCTACGGATTATCGTGTTCTTTCTGTTTATAGTGTGAAAGAAAAAGAAAAGGTGTTACCTGTCTTTTTCTTTCTAGAGTATCGAGATCGTTACGATTCAGACCGGTACCGGGATCGGGATGGGTATCGGGATGGGTATCGTGACGGCCCACGCCGGGATATGGATCGCTATGGGGGCAGGGATCGCTATGATGACCGAGGCAGCAGAGACTATGACAGAGGTAATTATGACACATAATTCAATTAAAGTACTTTCTTCCAAGAACTCTTTCTTTCCTTTTTTTTTCCTTGTGTGATGCTCACAACTTGATATATTTGCAGGCTATGACTCCAGGATAGGCAGTGGCAGAAGAGCATTTGGTAGTGGGTATCGTAGGGATGATGACTACAGAGGAGGTGGGGACCGATATGAAGACCGATATGACAGACGGGACGAACGGTCATGGAGCTCCAGAGATGACTACTCTCGGGATGATTATAGGCGTGATGACCGAGGTAATCATTTTCTATTGGTTTCTTCATGGAGCAGATACTTGAAAAACTGGGAAATTCTGCAGTTGTAAATTTTGTTTGTGCTTCCTTCAGGAGTTCAGAACACAACTTACGCATTGTAAAAGAGGCAGCAAAGCACAGTAGAGCATTAGGTGACGATAGAAAAAAAGCCAAAGCTAATTCTTTTCATCTTTTTTCATATTTTTGTAGTACTAGGATTTGAACTCAGGGCTTATACCTTGAGCAGCTCCACCAACCCTTTTTTGTGATGGTTTGATTTTTTTGTTTTGTTTGTTTTGTTTTTGTGAAATAGGGTCTCATAAACTACTAACTCAGGCTGGCTTCCAACCGCCACCTCCTGAGTGGCTGGGATTATAGGTTTGAGCCACTGGCCTTACCATATAAACTTCAGTTCAACTTGTTGAATGAGCAATCAAAAAGGAAAAAAATTGTCACACTTTCTTTTGTTGTGATCCCATTCAAGAAATTGCATTTAAGGACTTCATTCTTGCAAACCAGGCATTCTACCACTTGAGCTACATCTCCAGTCTATTTTGCACTGGTGTTTTCGGAGATGGTGTTACTGGCACTATTTGCCCGGCTAAACTCTAACTTCAATCCTTCTTATCTCAGCCTCCCAGTAGCTAGGATTACATGCATGAGCCACCAGCACCTGGCAAATGCCTTTTATTCTTAAAAGCATTCTCAAATAAAAAGTCTATAAATATTGGCTAACATTTATTGAGCTGTACCAACGAATTGAATATTTATACAAATACTGTTTAATCCTAAAAATTGTATACAGTATAACTACAGTTGTCATCTCCACTTTACAAATGAGAAAAGTAGAAGCTTAGGTGTTGGGCCTCAAGTTTTCCTTGATTCCTGTTTCCTTTTTTACACTGTTCTTTATCTACTCAACTAACTGCACACCTGATTTTTTTTCTCCTGTTGATTTTCTATACACACATAACATTCTCGAGCATACACACACAAAATACTGCAAAATCTACAGTAATCTTCTCCTTTCTTCTGGAGTCACTGCCACTATTGTTGTTCAGGCCTTATTACTATACTCTGGACAAGCTCTAGTTAGATTTTTCCCTTCTGTTTAGCTTTCCTGGTGAAAGACCTCCCTTTGTCTATACCTCTAACATTTGTACTAGGGCCTTCACTTTTTCCCTACAATTTACTTCATCATTATCTTCTCCCTTCCACATCTCTCCTGTTCGGTGTGTGGTCAGCTCTCAAGGCCACTCAAGTGTTAACTACAGAGGGAAGGGGATAAGTGGCCCAAACAATGTATACACATATGAGTAAATGTAAAAAGGATAAAAATAAGTAAGTAGAAAGTGTTAACTACTTAGACGTCTTCACAGCTTCACTGAACATTAATTCAGTCTTGAGTCTTTCAATATGGATAGACTGGTGAATCTGTAAGATTGAACATAAGATTTTTTTTTTAATCTGACTTTCCTACTAAATTGGGCTTCTTATAGACAGAGAGGAACAACCATCATAACTTTTGGCATATGCACAGTATCTAACATACAGGTATTTGAATTATTTATTAAGTGGTTAAATTAATGGATATTCTTGTAAAAGAATGGGAACATTGAGTGCTATAATGAAGAACAGTGGAGTTTGGTAAGTCATAAGGGTTTCATTCTCTGCCAGGTATTGGCTATATAAACTGTCAGGTTAAAGCCCTTAAAGGAAAATTTAAATCTTGCTAAATAATACCCCAATTTCAGATACATATGTACGTAGTAAAAGTATAAAGTCATATGTGGACATGATAAACATAAAATTCAGCATATAGTGATTTTAAGAGCAGCTCAGTTGGAATGTACTGTTTCCTTACCTAAACCAGGTGGTTGCCACACCTAAGTATATTGTCTAGCTCTTTTTATGTATTTGTGTGTTTTTGTGTGTCTGTGTTCCTAAGATTTGAACTCAGGGGCTCACGCTTTCTAGGCAGGTGCTCTACCACTTGAGTCACTCCCCCAGCCCTTTTTGTGTGTTGAGTATTTTCAAGGTAAAGTCTCACAAACTGTTTGGAGCTGGCTTTGAACCATGATCCTCCTGATACCTGCTTCCATTGTAGCTAGAATTAATAGGCATGAGCTACCTGGCTATCTCTAGATCGTTCATATAGATAAACAACAGTTTTCAGAAATAAAATTTTTTGGACTAAGGCTATAGCTCTGTGGTAGCACACTTGCCTAGCATGCAAAAGTCTCTGGGTTTGATCCCTAGCACAACAAAAAGAAAAGAAGTACAACTTCTTAAAACTCTTACATTTATCTTGAAAATACTCTGATAACTTGAATCAAGGAAGAAATCAGACTCTCTAAGGTTTATATGTTTAGTGTTCCGTAATTTTTCTGTCCAAAAAAAAAACTAGTCTTCCCTAGCATTGTTAGAAGCTCCTGTTGACCTGTTAAAGATACCCATCTTCCACAATAAGATAATTTTGTCCAGTAGTTTATTGTGGTTTAAAATTTCTTCCTAGGTAAAAGTTTTTCCCCACAGTCTGGCACTGTACCATAGATGTGATAGAGGAAAGAATAATAGAACCTGATTACTTAAGCTACCCATTTTCTCATGTTCACCCATCCAATTTCTCTGCTGGATTGGGTATGCCATTAATTGAACCCATACAGCATTTCTGTGTCCAGGAATCTGGCTTTCAGCCATCAGCCTCTGATGATTTGGAAACTATTACTTAGAGTTTCATTTAACTTAGGTCCCCCCCAAAGACCCAAACTGAATCTAAAGCCTCGGAGTACTCCTAAGGAAGATGATTCCTCTGCTAGCACCTCCCAATCCAGTCGAGCGGCTTCTATCTTTGGAGGGGCAAAGCCTGTTGACACAGCTGCTAGAGAAAGAGAAGTAGAAGAACGGCTACAGAAGGAGCAGGAGAAATTGCAGCGTCAGCTGGATGAACCAAAACTAGAACGACGGCCCCGAGAGAGGTGAGCTTGTCTTCAGTTAATTGGTTTTCCTTCTGTGATTTCAGTGCAGCGTAAGGTGGGTATTTGGGAAATTTTTGTGCTTACTATTGGTTGTCACTGATAAGCATTTAGTGGGCTCAGATGTTAGTTAGCTAGTCTGCAGTGTGAGGGACAGTTTCACACAGTTAAAATCTTTCTGTACCTAACTGTCATAAAAGGCCTCCTATGTTAATCCTGCCACTACTAGAAATTGTTTACACTTTAATACAGAAATAAGCAAATTATGGCCTCAGCCCCTGCTTTAGTGTGATGAGTAGAATCCACTTACTCATGAGTTGGTTCTCTTGTACAACAGTAGAGTTGATATCATGAAATTAATAGGGATTACATTTATTGGGCTAGGGGCATGACTCACGTGATAGAGGAGTTACCTGTATGGCAAGCTCAAGGCCCTGAGTTCAAGACCCAGTACAGCGAAAAGAATTGCATTTATCTCTTTTCAAGTTTTTGGGATGGGATAGAAAATGTTTTCTGCTGTCTTTATTATAGGCTAGAAATAATTTTGCATTTTTATATGTATGGTGATTGTATCATCTTAAGTGTTACCTCAGGATAGTAAAGGACCCGTTATGAAAGTTTATTGCATCTAGGAGGGTAGAAACCTGCAATAAATAACAGTTCTTCAGAACTAGGCATTATGAGTGCCTTATACAACTGTGTTCAAAGTAAAGTAGGGCAGTGTGGTAGATTATGTAAAAGAATGTTCTTAACCTTGCTGAAGTATTTAGAGCCACAATTTGTCATAATACCTACAGCTTTCAAAAAGGTTGAGTGAATGGTGAATATGTTATAAGCATATGTACCCATGGGTAAAACAAGTGTGATAAAATACGACTAAGCAATGGTTCTTGGGGTGGTCAGCATGGGTTTGTGGTAGCCTTCATTGAGCCCAGCACAATATTTGTTTTTGTTTTGTTTTAAAAAATAAAATACAGACACCCAAGCTGGCGAAGTGAAGAAACTCAGGAACGGGAACGGTCAAGGACAGGAAGTGAGTCATCACAGACTGGAACCTCAGCCACATCTGGCAGAAGTAAGTCAGACCATGGTGGGTATTGTATTATTGCTATTTCCCATGAACTGTCCATAACCAAAGTATGCAAAGACTTTGCAATATTAAATTCAGTTATAAAACTCTAGGTTAGCGTAGACTGATCTGGGCTTCACACCTCTTGCTCCAAAAAATCTCAGGAATCAGCACCAGAATGGACTTGCATAAGCTGTTTAATAATCTGACACCAAAGTGTATACTTGATACTGTAAGATTTGATTTGTCCCTTATCTGTCTTGATAGCTTAGAGTTTTGTTTCTTCAGAGCAGTCACAGTCCTGGAGTCTGAGCTCTTGCTGGAGCCAGCCTTTTTTGGTGCTGGTTATGACCAGAGCAGTGTTCTGAAGGGTTGGCTCTCCAGTCTTCATTCTTCCTCACTAGTTAGTGATTGTTCACAAGCAGGTCTAGTGTTTTGGAGACCTGAATGATTTGATTGTAGGACCTCCCTTCCCTTACTGTGATCCACTGTCTTTCCTTCTGCCTCTAAATTGATTTGTACTTGAGTATTTCAAAACACAGCTTGAGCTCAAAGCAATTAGGAAATTCATCCACATTTTGTAGGAGTTTTCTGTAAATGATTCATGTTGGCATAGTCTCAGTAACATGATGTAATTTTTGTAGCTAGGTAGAAGTGTGATACTGTGTTGATTTGTGTAGCTTGCACTTAAATATAGAAAGCTTTTGACAAAACAGGCTCCTTGTTTTAAAGAGACATTTAAGCCCTTTGAAACACACGTGCGCCACTGACCCCCACCCCCATATGTTCTGATTTTCGCTAATGTATAAATGCACTGTGTCACAGTCTGTGTTGGGAGTTACCAGAGTGGTTCCTGGGGTTGCATCATTGATTCCCACTCACATGTTTGTTACAGTTCAGTTGATGTAGAGAAGCTCACAGTTGGTCCTGCATTATCATCATTTGTGTTTAAATCGTGTGGTCTGCTGTTTCCCTGCCCTTAGTTTTGTGAAAATAATGCCTCCCAAAAAACAAGCTGAAAAATGAATGTGTTTAACTGATCAAGTGAAAATTTTAGATTGTTGGAAGGTGGCATGTTTTATTGGAAGGTGGCCTTATGGGTAAAATGAATCAAGCATTAGCAGTTCAGTACTGAACTCTGTGCATCCTAAGCATTCCTGGTTTTTGCTCAACAGTGGTCTCCTTGGAATTTAAGGGCCTACTATGAATGTGGATGTAGAACATTTCCACTCTTCTTGAAATCTAGGTAAATGCACATACAGTCTTTTTTTCTCCCGACAATTTTCACCTTTTCACTTCACAGATGCACGAAGGAGAGAGAGTGAGAAGTCTCTAGAAAATGAAACACTCAATAAAGAGGAAGACTGTCACTCTCCAACTTCTAAGCCTCCCAAACCTGACCAGCCTCTAAAGGTAATGCCAGCCCCTCCACCAAAGGAGAATGCGTGGGTGAAGCGAAGTTTTAACCCTCCTGCTCGATCTCAGAGCTCAGACACAGAGCAACAATCCCCTACAAGGTGAGTCAGCCTGGAACAGCAGCTGGTTAGCCCAGAATCAGAAATGGGATATCCTGATGGAAAACGCCCTGTGGGATGTTGGCCTTTATAGTGTAATACAAGTTAATGTTATCTTAGTTCAAATTCAGTGTGTGCTGGAGTTGGCTCATAGAAGCCAGTGGTCCAGTTTTCTGGAATTTTGATAGCCAGTTGACATCACTTTGGTGACTTTGTATTTATGTGGAAATCTGCAATCACTAAAAACCCAGTTTTCTCACTTCCCACATACTGGCAGTATGGCCTTATAAGTCACTTCTCTAAGTCTTCTCACATTTGTTTTAAAAAAAAAAAGCTACTACTCGCCTTGCACAGTTGTAATGATTCTAAAGCATATGGCACTTGAGTGTTCAGATTATTGCTTCTGTCATCTTTCCTGTACTTTAATATTCCATAATGAATGGAGATTCTTGTCTGTTTTCTGTAAAACTTAACTGCATTTTGAAGAATGACCATACGTTTCTTACCTGTTCTCTTCCTGAAACAACTGAGGGATCTAATTACTTGTTTTCTTTCTAGTGGTGTGGGGAAGGTAGCTCCAGCTCAGACATCTGAGGAAGGACCAGCAAGGAAAGGTGAGAGCATACTAAGGGAAGCAGGTTTCCATCTGGTTAAGACAGCCAGAATCAAGAAGACATGCCACCCCTTTACCACCACCTTCCCAATACTCAAAAATTTTGATGGGTGTGTCTTGGAACCAATTTTGTGGTGATAAATCCTTGAATTAACTACTTTTTCCTTCCATTGGAGGGCAAGAGTGGCTTCTTCAGAGAGAGCATGAGGTCCTACCCTTTCCTAGTAGAGCTTTCTTTTGAAAGGAGGGGGGAACTAGAACTAAATAGATACATTCCGTTCAGGTTAGAAATGTCCCCATTGACAAGGCCAGGGTTACTACAGAACATCCTAGTCCTTACTTCGATTTGGTTTTGCATTTCTGTTCAAGCAAATGACAATAAAGCAGATGGAATGAGTGTCTCCAAAGGCCAAACTGGGAGCTCCAGCCGTGGTCCCGGAGATGGAGGGAACAGAGACCCTTGGAGAGAGCCAGATAGGTATGCATATGTTCTTCTCAGTTCTCAGTTCTCCAAGCACTGCCAGTGCTCTCAGTATGAACAAACTAAAGCCAACCATTAAAGACAGTCAAATTCAAGGAATGTAGAAATACTACAATGTCCAGATAATACAGACTATTGGCTGGAGATGTCTGTTCAGTGCCTCAAAATGGCACGTGTGTCCGTGTGCATTGGGGAAGTCCCCTCCACCAGGTTATGGTTTTATGCTCACATCTCTGCAGGAAAGATGGCAAAAAGGATCAAGACTCCAGATCTGCACCTGAGCCAAAGAAACCTGACGAAAATCCAGCCTCCGTAAGTATTAAGGGCTTTCCCCTAACTTCTTTTTGACTTTTGCCGTTGGGACTCTTACATATAAGTTGTTGGTGTGTTCAAGCTAGTGAAAGAAATTTTTTTTTTTCCCACTTTCTTTCTGGGCTTTCCTTTCTCCTACCAGACGAAAGGGGCATGGCTGATGAGCATACATGTGCCCCTCTGACCCTCGTTAACGCCTCTGCATGAAAATGCTACCTGCAGAGGAGAAGCAGGTGCAGTCTGGAACCTAGTCCTCCATTTGCCATAGTGTCACCATTCCATCTCTTGATTTTTGATGTGAGAATCCAAGGCCTTCATCATCTTGTCACTCTGGTCTTTTACAGAAGTTCAGTTCTGCAAGCAAATATGCTGCTCTGTCCGTGGATGGTGAAGATGAAAACGAGGGAGAAGAATACACCGAGTAGACCTCTACATCCTGTGCTTTTTCCTAGTCTCTCTCCACTCTGGAACATTCATTCAAGAACAAATCAAACCTCTATCCAGACAAGACAAAATAAAACTCACCATCTCCTAGAGACCTTTCTTAACTTTTTTTTAAAAAATGAAATGAAATTCTTTTGCATGCTGCTGCAGCCTTTAAAGTATTGAAGTAACCAGAGAATCACCAATATAGCCAGAGATAAAGACTACAGCTTTTTGATGGAAAAGTTGTGGTGCTTTCTGATGATACCATTGCAGCTGCCTGTGTGATTAGTGCCTAGGGGCTCCATTTAGCAGAAATGGTAATGCCAAGTGATAACAGTGTCTGGATCAGTTGGCAGTAGGGAAAATATAAGGAAGAGTGAGATTTCTACCTTCTAATTCTTATCCTATTGTGGCAAATATGAATTCTGTCAAGCATTATCTGAATAAATTTTCCATCCTTGGAAAGGTAGATTTATTCTCTCAAGTTGTTTTAGTCTCCAGGAGGCTGACAGCCCTTCCTCTTACTTCAATTCTGAGTTATTGGGGCCAGCCTAGGGGAAGTTCCTTTATTTTTTACCCCCCAGGGGGGTAGTTGGAAGTGAGTTTACAGGCCACTAGCAAATAGGACCGCTTGGGGACCAAAATAAATGGAGAGATCGTGGTTTGAAAAGAAGCTTTTGGGAGGTGGATTATTTTGCACCAGGTAATAGGGGAAGTGGTGTGCCCTCTGGTAAACACATGAATGGTTTTGTCCTGAACAGGAAGCACTTAGGGCTCAAGGGAAATCCCCTCTTTGGCCTGGTTTTGCCCTTTGTAAACATTGTCCTTTTCAAAAGTTCAAATATATTCACATTCTCTTGAAACCTTGAAGCTTTAAAAATTTAGACTCTTACCATCTCATGTTCTTCATATATTACCTCCAAAAGCAGTCTATAAGTCAAATACCTGTTCGGGGGCATTTTCTGTCTCAGCCACTGGAAGCTGTGGCATGAGGAATCACTGCTTTTCTCAAGTACATCAGCTGTGATGTCTTTTGATTATTCCTTTCTTCTATCCATGCCTGCTCCTGCTGCTTTGGCCCCTTTTATAGATCAGACTACTCTTAGAATTGGTGGATTTGGGTGGTGAATGAGTCGATAAATAGGAACAGTTGAATCCAAAGCTTTTCCTACAAGCTTGATGGGGGGGAGGAGTTGAGTTTTCAGTTTCCCTCTCCATTGAACTATACCAATGCTTGGATTTATAATGTGGCCTGGACTAGTGTGTGGGTTTTTTGCTTTCTGGGGTTGGTTTTTCTTAGCTTCCCTTGAGAGAATAAATGATAATGGAAAGAAGTGTTTAACAAGGTCCTGGTTTCTCTTGTGACACGGTAGCTTAATTTGTTTTGCTTTGATGTGCATCTTTATAGGGGGTCAGCTTGGTAGATGGTATCCTTCCCCATTGTGGGCAGAATTGGTACCTGCACACAAATGACACCTTGGTCTCTTGTTTGCAAGGCCTGTTAGGTCCTGTCCAGCCCTGCAGGGTGTTGGTACACGTGTGCTGCAGCAGTGGGCATAGTAAACCACTTGTCCAGTGGACAAAAAACCTTAATTGGCAGGATTGGCTAGTAACTAGGAAGTGGGATTTTAGAGAGCCAAGGTTGAAAGGATTTTTTAAGAAAAAAAAAATAAAACCATTGGTTGTAGACAATGAAAAGGTAGTTTGCCCTCTTCATGTCTATTCTCCTTCCAAATAGTTTCATCCAAAAAAAAAAGCTGTTTTGTCCCACTCTCCTACCTTGTTCCCCTGTTAAAATAGAAACAGGGGTTGATTTATGTCCCGCTCCTGAATACGTGTAAAATTTGTACAAAAGTATCTTCTATGAAAATGATTTGTAATCTGTAGACTTACTACCTGGGAGGTGTCTTGAGATGTAAAATCCCATCCTTTGGGTTGTGGGTTTTTGTTTTCTCCAAATAAATCCAATCTTTCAAGTTCATTTTAATGCTGAAGTTCTTTTGACTTGCACTCTACACTCCCAGAGCTGTTTCTTGGAGACCTCCCCATTTACAGCCTGCTCATCTTTCCCCCATTATCTGAAGTTCTCATTCATCATTGGATTGAGGGTGGGCTCACAAGCAAAATCTACTTCATTGCAGCCTTCACTTAGGAGGCCCAAAAGCTGGACTTTGCATCCCTGTTCCCTCTCCAGGACATGCCTGTAGTCCATTTCCTGTACTGTTTACTGTGGGATGTGGGCATATCCTTGGGACAGTTTCCTTTAGCCTCCCCCCCCCCCCATTTAATCCATGAAGCCAAGTGCCTTTGTCCTCACTGTGCCAAGTTCCAGGTGGCAGGCTACTCTTGGTTACCAAGACTGAGGCCACTGCTCTGTGAATCACACCTCAGATTTGACAGGAATTTTCCAAGCTGCTAAGGACAGACTAGTCATTGTTGCAAGATAGGAAAGGGGTTAGGACAGTGGCAAAGAATTGCTGAGGTTACAAGGTGGTGGAGCACAGAAAGCCCAGGAAACCAGTCCAGTTTTGGGGGTGCAAGGGGAGGCAGGAGCAGTGGCACTGGCTTTGCTGGCCACTTGGCAGCTGTTTTCCCAGTTTCTAGCAAGTCACTGTTCTCCAAAATTAGAGTTTCATTTTGAGCTGGGAAATGAAAGCCTGTCAGTATGGCCTTAGGTGGGGAGGAAAAGGTGCCCCTGCTGCCCAGATGCCTGTGACTCCACCCCAAAAGGTATTTTTCAAGTTCTGCAATCTGCAATCTTTCCCCTGCTGGAACACTGAAGCCGGGAAAGGAGGGTAAAAGTGGAAAAGCTTATGTTGTGATGCACAGAAAGGAGAGGAAGGAACGCTGGATTACGTCCCAAGAGGGTACTCTTAAAGTCAAGGGAAAGCCAGGCTGTGGTGTGGACCCTCCTCAAAGCCCAGCTGCAGGAATGGCTCTGGCCAGGTATGGCCACCCCCCTCTAAATCTTGAGCCACCAGAGATGGAGGCAGAGTGCAGATGGGGCTCTTCCCTGATAAGGGTCAACTTCAGGCTTGTTGGTTAGCATATGTCCTCCAAGCCAAAGTCTAGTTTTCTCTTAATAAAACCAAGCACTGTACTCTTAGATCCCAAAGCAGTGAGGGTCCCATGTTGTGCTAAGGGCGTCACCTCAAGTGCTACAAGAGCTGGCAGCATCTGGTTTCTCAGGAAGTGAGAGAGCTACACATCTGCTCCTGGGAAGCAGTATTTGTTAAATAAGCCTCGTTTCCCAGCAACCATTGTAGCCCCCAGGGCCACAGTGAAGGGTGACTTGCTTTCCCGCCTCCCCCCGAAAAGCTTAGAAGAGACTCTGCTGCTCCCCGCCCAGCTGCAGCTACAGCGACCTCCCAGTTGGACAATACAGGCTCTGTCCTTGGCCAGGAGATCCGCCTCTGGAGTCAGCTCTGCCCCTTCCCCCGCTCTTCCTGGTTCCCAGCACCTAAATCCTCCACTGAAGTTCTGACTCAGTGGTCTTCCAGCCAGGTCAGCCCCACACTCAAAAGTCCCCCTCCTATGGTCCCCTTCACCTCAAGATCCTGAGTGCACTCAGTCACAGGCATGGGATCACCCCAGACCATGGAAGAGGAGGCTCCGCCTTTGGTACCAAGATGGGCCTCCCTTTGCATAGTTAAGGTAAGAAAACCTGCATGGAGGGAGGTTGGAGGCTGAAACTGCTTCACCTTTATCAACAAGCAGCCTGACTTTCTTCCCCTCCTTCCCATTCCCTCCTGCTGCTCTGAGCTGGTAAACCAGGATGCCTGGCTGGCCCCACAAGCCACCCGTTTTTATTCCACCCCCACCAAGCTACCTCCTGTAGCTCTCAACCTCTCTCACCAGCTTTCTTCCTGCAGACTCCTTCCCCTTGACCTCTACCTTGAGAGTAAACCTAAGCTGGGGGTTCAGCTATCCATCTTGTGAACTTAACCAGTTCCCCATCTTGTGACCCCTTCAATTCCTTGGAACCTCAGAAGTTTCTCTTATTGGCTGGCCAGGCAGGGCAGTGTTGCCAGCATGAGTATGAGGTTTAGCCCTCCCAACCTCTCTAGGATCCAATCAAGTTCCTTGTGTCTTTAGAGATTAGAACCTACCTCCATGGCTCGCATCCCAGACAAAGCCCCTAAGGAATGCTGGGAAGGGCAAAGTGTTAAAAGAACTAGCTTCAGGCTCTAAAGAAATGAACAAATTTTCATATCTCATGAATCTCAATTATATAATGAAATCTTGCCAAAATACACAATGATGTTCAGCCTTGCCCCTTCCCAGTAACCTCCAACCCCTGTCACTCTCCTGGGTCCTCACCTAACTCCTGTCCTGCCTCTACCAGTGCCTGCCTAGCCCTTCCCCCACCGTCCCCTTCCTTCAGGACCAGTGACTCCTGCTCTGACCTCTAAAACTGCCTAGTGGACATTAACTCTGCCAAGAGCCGGAAAAATCAAGACTTCCCAGGGCCCAGTGTGTCCACCCCCTCCCAAATGCCAGTCTCTGGGGGACCCAAACTGTTGCCAGGCCCTGCTTCACAGCTTCTTGCCTGCATTCAGATTGGAATCAGGTGCTCCAATCTCTGTAATCAGAACCAGACTTCCCAAACCTTGCCAAAGACAAAACAAAGCTCGGAAAGTACTAGGGTTGAGAGATGGGACAGGAGGGCCCTAGAGACGAGTTGCTGGCTGCTTTGGGCAGGTACCAGGCATTGAACCCTTGGCACCGGCTTCTCAGAACCTCCCTCACCACCACCCCCTCCACCAATTTTCATCATGGAAACTCCAGTGAGAGGGTGATGAAGAAAGTTTTGGAAGTGCTCACTGCTAAAGAACGCTGGGGACCTGGGAATGGCAATAGGTTCAGAGCTTCTAGGAAGACATTCCCATCTCATCCCTACCCTCCACCTTCCTGCAGGGTGACACAACTCAAACCAGCGCCATGACCCATTAGCTCGATTTCAGAAGTTCCTATCCAGCACCAGATAAGAACAGTGCAAAAGAAAGAATGAGGTTTCACCACAGAAAGAACTTCGCTGGCAAGACTGAACTTGAATGAAAGGAAAGGAAGACCTTAGAACCGTGGCCCAGCTCCTAACTAGGGCAATTGAGTGGGATGACTGGAGCTGCGGGGGGTGGAGGTGGGGGGCTTGAACCTGCTGCGAGTCCTCAGTTCTGAGACCTTCGGGAAAAAGAGGCGGCAGAGAAATCTCCAGTGGGGCAGAAGACCAAGGAAGCGGTGTCCACCGACCAAGGACACCTTTAACACCAGGTGTTCTTCACCTGAGTCTGGCGCCCCCACCAGGTCGCGCCGCGGGTGGTCCTGACACAGGATCCCACAAGCGCTCCTGTGCAGGGGCGACCTAAAAGCTGGGGCTTTCCGGGCTGTTCTCTGTACACTGATCGCTCGTCCCTTTGGGGACCACCTTTGCTTCTGCGTCTGTCTGACTTGCGCGTTTCTTTTCGCCTGTCTGCCGCTGGTCTGTGTCTTCTTCGACTGTCTGTCGCCCTCTCTGAGAGGCCCCATCCGATCCCGTATTCCCCAAATCTGTCCCCAACTCTGCGAGGCTCTTCCCGTTTGGCCTCTGCCAGTCGGTGCGCTCTGTTGAGTGTGGGTTCGCGGGAGAAGGAGAAGGTGGGGAGAGAGCGAGAAGGAGGCGGCCGGGGGCGGGGAGCGGGCGGAACGTGGGGATTGGAGCCCGGGAAGAAGGAGGGGAGCCGCGAGGGCGGGAGGAGGCGGCGGGCGCAGGGCGCGGCGGGGACGGGAGGGAGCCAGCCGAGCGCCCGCTCCCGCCGCCGCCTCCTCCGCGTCCCGCGGCGCGGCCGGCAGGGATGGGCTGGCCCGGGGGCGCCCCCTGCTGCTGCCCCGCCCCGCCGCGCCCCCGCCCCGCCGGGCGCCCCCCGCAGGTGAGTGGCCGCGCCACGCCAGGAGGGCGGTGGCTTCTGCGTCACGCCGCGCGGGCAGGGCTGGGGGCGGGCGCCAGGGGACGCGGGGCGCGGCAAGCGCCCCTGGGCTGGGGTCAGGGTCCATTCCTGGCGGGCCGCAAACGAGCTAAGGGCACTTGGAGGCCAGGAAGGTGACCGCGGGGCACGACCGCGGTCCCACTCACTGGGGCCGCTGGGCGCACTTACACTCGAGAGTCCGCAGCAGCTGGCAGCAGCTGGCAGCAGCTGGCAGCAGTGCTCTGGCCCTGACCTGGCAGAGTGCAGGCGACCCTTTTTCCTCTACTTCCCATCTGGGACACTGAGGCAGAAAGGAGGCACGGATGAGGCTGACTCTATTCCCGGACCCACAAATCAGCCCCCTCTACTTCTGTTCTCAATCCCCCCCACCCCCAGATCCCTCAGGGCACACCCATGCACCCCGCCTCCCCTTCCCCTCTCCTCCCTCTCCTTCCCTGGGCCTCACCCCTCGTCCGTGGCCAGGCTCTCAGCCTCTCATCCAACCACAGCTATTTCCAGGAAGGGGGGTGGAGGGGTTTCTCCAAACAAATTCAAGACTTCGGAGTGAGAGGGGGCCCAGCTGGGGAGAGGCTGACAAGCTCTGGAATGTTCCACGCAGGAGGAGGTTGAGGGTCCAAGGGGTCTGTCTGCTGATGCCTTCTCAGCCGGCCTCTCAGTGAGAAGCTACTTTTCCTCATCTTCCTTCAGACATGCTCCAGATGGTGGGAAGGGACTCAAGGCCACAGGGACCCTGACCACCTAATGCCAGACTTATTGTGCCCCACCCTCACTACTGTCAATGTGTGATGTACTGGCACCTCCTTGCTGGGCCTAGGTAGGCAGTGTCTGAGATTAGTGAGATCAGAGGATGTTTGGGACCTGTTCCGATAGGAGGGGACTTTGGGCCTCTCTGGAGGCAGCAGTAGGAAGTGGCTTGTTGGAGAGGTCCAGGTCTGGGCTGTGTGCTATGGAAGTAGAGGTATTGGGCAGTGCCCCATCACCCCTAAGCAGGGCTGGGTGCTGGACCAAGCCAGGCCCAGATGCCCACCTGGCCAGAGGCCTGGAATGTCCTGGGACACTGCCAGGGCTGGGGGGGGTGGCACTGGTCAGAGGGGAACGGTGTTGTTGCAGAGCCAGTGCTCCTCTCCAGTTACAGGCTGGGGCCCAGGCCTTGACACACAAATGCCACCTATTGGCCAAGGTACCCTGGACATAAGTTTCCTGGCCTAAAGAATTGGAGTTTCCAAAAGAAAAATAAAATAAAATAAATAAATAAACAAAAGAAGAAAAAAAACAAAAAAGAATTGGAGCTACCAGGGGCAGGCCTCAGACAGTGTCTAGCCTCTGAATTGTCCCCAAGTGGGCTCCCAGAATGCAGGATTAGACCAGCCTTCCTTCTGGATAGTCATGAGAGAGGAGGAAGGAAATTGAAGGGACCCTGTGGGAGTAGCCAGAGCTGGGGGAGTTGCCTGAGCACTGGGACATTCAGTAAATACCATGCAAGTGGGGAGGGCAATTTTACATTCTTTCAAGTGACAACTACAACCAACCCAAACGGCTGCTGTCTAGGGCTTGGAGCTGGGGACCCCAGGCTATTAACCCTTATACCTTAGGAAGATTACTCCCCCCTTTCCAAGGCCCCATCCACCTCCTTCCCTTGACTCCTGGGACAGGAAGTTGGCCATGTTCCCAGGAGGGAGGCAGGAGGCCCTGGAGGGGGGTGGAGTATGTGTGGGGAGGGGGCCTCCTGTCCAGTCCTCAGGCAGGGGGACAGCTGCTGAGGAAGGAGAGCAGATCCAGGCGCCATAAAGGTATACTCAGGCTTGGGGTTCCAGCCCTGGGAGTCTGGGTAGATAGTTGCAGGTGCAGGGTTAGGGGCAAAGCAAGGGACTTGGGTGAGAGTGCTGTGTCTGGAGCAGCTGAGAAAGACCTCACCTGCCTTGGACTGCAGCAGAATAGATCCCTCCTGAGGTCAGAGTGGTCTTTCTTCTGCCTGGAACTTGGCCTTGCAGGGTATATGAGGGAAGGCAGTGCATGTTCCTTTTCCTACCTTAAAACCAGTGAAACTGAGGCAAGAAGCTTGTCCTCATTTCCACTATCCCTCACCCTCAGAACACTGGATTCTGGGCTGTCCTGAACAGTAGTTTCCAGCTTTGCTCCCTCCCCTCGGAAAGTCCCAAGGGAGTGTGAGAGTTCCGGAGACTGGCTGGGACACAGTGTTCCCCACTGCCCCTTGAGCCCTGCCTGAGACCTGAATTCCCACCCCACCCTACCAGGGGCTTATCTCAAGGCTGGATGTCAGGACCACAGAGCCTGCAAATGACCACACAGGGTGGATCACTCCTGTGTGGCAGCTCCAAAGCAGGAGGTGGGGAGCAAAAGATCCTAGGCTGACACTCCCAGCAGGGTAGATCCTGGGAATCTGATCTCCTGGCCTCCCCCACATCCTCCCCCCCACCCCCCCACTTCCTGGAGCAACGACCTGCCCCCTTCCCGCCTGCACTTCCCTCCACTTCCAGGGCCAGGCTTCTCACACCAGCCAGACAGCCTACCCTCCGCCCAAGGGAAGCTGCTGCCTCCGCCAGGCTGCTTCCAGGAAGCCCCAGGCCAGGCCCCAGCATTGTTCAGGCCCTAGGGCCTGCAGCCCAGTCAGCCGGACACCATGAAGTCCAGCGGCCCCGTGGAGAGGCTGCTCAGAGCCCTAGGGAGGAGGGACAGCAGCCGGGCCACCAGCAGGGTAGGAGTGCCCACCAGCTGGGCAAGGGTGGTGGTAGGGTTGGAGGTATGGGGAGTGGGGGAGGGGCCAGGATTCAGGCCAGACCCTCTTCCCAGTTTCCTGTCTTCTGCCCCTCCTAGCTCTCTAGGATGGCCAGAGTGGCAGGGTGAGCAGCAGATGTTTGTTAGTGTGGATCCTGCTGTCTATGGCTCCTCTATTGCCCAGCTTGAAACTTGGTAATTTGTGGGGGTCCTGGACCCCCAAGCCTGAGCCCCAGGTATAGTGACCATGTGGGTCATTATCCTGGAGCACTGAGCTAAGAACTCAGTCCCCTCCCTGGTCTGGAGAGTCTGGGAGAGATGTGGTGGGAATGTGGCAAAGAAAGGCAGGGAGAGCCAGGTGCTGGTGGCTCACGCCTGTAATCCTAGCTACTCAGGAGGCAGAGATCAGGAGAATCATGTTCGAAGCCAGCCCAGGCAAATAGTTCACAAGAGTCTATCTTAAAAAACCCATCGCACAAAAAAAAGGGGGGGACTGGTGGAGTGGCTCAAGGTGCAGGTCCTGAGTTCAAATCCCAGTTCTGCAAAAAGAAAGGCAGGGAGGAGGCCAGGTCTCAGGAGTGATTTAAACCAGAGGTTTGATTTCCACTGGCATCATCCATACATGCTGTTAACGCCAAGTGCACTCAGGTGTCCTAGTGGGTCCCACTGTGGGTACAGACCAAAAGAGTTCCAGGGACAGTCAAGGGGCCCAAGGTGTTCGTGTATCCTCATCACCCTCTTTCCCCACTTCTAAAGAAACAGGTCAGGATGAGCTGAGATGATACTGTACGGGGTGGATCCAGGGAGGGGAGCAGGTAGGAGGAGCATGAATCCAGAGGAGAAAAATGGGTAAAACAGAGGTAGCATGGAGGCAAATTGTCCCCAGACACAGGATGGGAGGGATGGGTGTTGGAAATGGGCGTCTTCAGTGGGAGGGGATTGAGGTAGCCTGGGCAACAGGGGTCATCCCAGCCTCCAGCCTCACTGGTACCTCTGGGCTGGGCAGGGAGGGGCCAAAAAGAGCATCTGGTCTCTCAATTGATGCTTTAATCTAACTCCACAGTTTGTCAGGTAGTGGGAGCTCGCTACACTCAGAGGTAGTAGGACAGCTCCCCCCCACTGTCACTCCTCTGGCATTACTGCCCCCACCCCCGCCTCTTACACAACTGTGCCTGCCGCCTGCCTCAATGCACAAAGAGTAAACATGTTGTTCTGAGCATGGGGGAAGGCAGCATGTCAGCTGCCTGGAGCATGGGGACATCAGGAGCCACGGGAGCAGGGCTGGCTAAGGCCACTCCTGCCTGGCTCAGCATACTTGAATGTTGCGTGACTGATACTACGCACATGTCTGGATCCCCCTGCTCACTCTACACATGGGCCTCCATCTGGGCAAGGTCCCCACCCCACCAGAAGGAAAGTGCCAGCATTTGGGGTGGTATTGACAAGGGCATCACACAGCAGGGCCACATGAGGGGCCGGCCCAAGTGATCCCTTGGGGAGGAGCTGACCCAGTGAAGGTGACCCAAGGGGTCACATTCCAAGCACTGTAGAGGACAGGCTCCATGACAGCCCCAAAATAGCTGTGGCCAAGTATGTCCTAGAGATCAGGGGCTTAATGGCAATGGGAGAAGTGCTAAAGCAAGAACTCTGCCCAGCACTGAGGATGGACCAGCTAGGCACTCACTCCTCTGTCTGTCTGTCCCTCCACCTGCAGCCTAGGAGAGCCGAGCCACATAGCTTCCGGGAGAAGGTTTTCCGGAAGAAAGCTCCAGTGTGTGCAGTATGTAAGGTGATCATCGATGGGACTGGTGTCTCATGCAGAGGTGAGGTGCTCTGGCCTTGACTCAGCCCCTCCACCAGTGCCACCATGCTGCCCAGCTCCAGGAGTAGAAACTGGAGTGTGTGCACTACTCCCATGGGGCACCTGGGGAGCCAAGAGGCAGCCACCTCCCCTTCAGGCAGCCCTGGCTCCCCATGACATACATCCTACCACAACCCAGGAGACTCAGGACTCCCTGCCACCCTTCCATCCTGTCCTCTGACTGGGGTCTTCCCTCCCTCTTCCTCCTCACCACTAACTACCCCAGAACACAACCCTGGATCCCTGCTCTCTGGCCAGACAGTAGCACCCACTGCCATACTTTTTCCTTAGACCCTGCCCTGTTCACCAACCCTGAAAGCCTAACACAGTGGGAATCCTGGAGCCTCAGGGTCAGCTTCCAGGGCCTGGGGAGATGGGGAACAGCGTCTTTCACTGCACCCATAGGCCCCAGCTAACCCCCTCTCCTCCCTTCTCCTCTTTAGTCTGCAAGGTGGCCACGCACAGAAAATGTGAAGCAAAGGTGGGTATCCCAATTCTACCCGATGGGGGCAGAGTTCCTTTCTCCTCCCCAGATGGGCTTCTCCAGCCACACTGGCATCTACCTCCCACCTCTTCCCCTGACATCACTGGGGAGCCCCTCCTGGGTGGCAGGGGGTTCTGTGCTGGGCCCTTTAAGAACCACCCTACTCCACCCCTGGAGGGCTGGCCCAGGCGGGTGGACAGTGAGACAGCGTTTGTCTTGGTGCTGTGCCCAGGCTGCAGCTGGCAAGAGGATGGGGGTGGGGGAGAGGAGGAGAAAGAGGAGGAGGAAGGGTGGGGTGGGTGGGGAGGGACCAGTATTTCAGAGACTGGGCAGCGGATGGGCTGTGCCTTCCCTCTGGGGAAGGGTCCTCAGGATGCCTGGGTGGGTCTTGTCCTAGGCCCTGGAAAGACTGGGCCTTTCCAGATGCAGGTTGTAGATAGCATCCAGGTCCACTGGGGACCTAAGACAGCCCCATCTCTGAGGAGGTTTCCTGGTCCTCCGAAGTACAGGGGGGTGGTCCCAGGGCCTCCTAGCTGGCTAGAAGAACAGTGTGCCCAGGGGCGGGGTCTCCTGGTGAAAGGGGCCAGTGTCTGCCCCTGGCCATGGCCTGCCTGCCTGACTCTATATATAACTCCTGTCCTGCTGCTGGATGAATGGGGGTCTGTCTGGGCAGGGGGCTGAGAGCCAAAAGCAACAAGTGGGGGGCCCGAAGGGTGGGGGACTCAGAGGCCAGAAGTGAGGCTCCCTTAAATAGAGGAACCTCAGCTGGAGCCTGCGCCCATGGACTGACAGCCCCTCCACCTTCTTGCTGAGCCTGAGGGGTCGTCCCATCCTCAAGACAGGGGAACCCATTTCACCAGGAGCTCAGCCTCTTATTCAGATCTCCTTCCAGGTGACTTCACCCTGTCAGGCCTTGCCCCCTGCGGAGCTGGTGAGTGTGCTCTAGGATGGGATTGGGAAGGCAAAGAACCTGACTGGATGTCCAGAGGTCTGGCAGCCTTGGAGAGGGTCCCTGGGAGATGACCTAGAAAGGAGGGCTGTAGTTTGTAGTCATCCTGACCACAAGAAAAAAATGTCTGAGCCCTCTGCTGTTCTGGTCCTCTCTGGACTGCTGGAAATTGGGCTTCTCTCCCCTCGCCCAAGGGTGGACACTGACCTGCCCTCCCACTCCCTCCAGGCCCAGCCTGGTCCTTGCCCCAGCCCTAACCACTCCCATTTCCCACCCCCCCATCTCCCTCTAGCGGCGAAACACGGCCCCAGTGAGACGCATAGAGCATCTGGTAAGGTGATGAAGAGGGGGGACCAGGGGAAGGGGGTTCTGAGAGTAAGTACCTAGGATTGCTGACTCTGAACTGGGAAGCCTGAACTGGGGGCACCCAAGAGACGTCCAGACAGTTTCTCATCCGACAGGGATCCACAAAGTCTCTGAACCATTCAAAGCAGCGCAGTACTCTGCCAAGGTGAGTGAAGGCACTGGGGGGGGGGGTGATCCCACGTGACCTCTCTCCAGCGGCCCCACACCTCAGCCCGTGGCAGTGTGCCCAGCAAAGCCCCCAGGACAGTCCTCTGCCTCAAGCGGTACTCTCCCTCCAGAACCACCCATCCTCAGGACCCGGCAGATCTCACCTGCTCGGCAGGTGATGGGAAGTACCCTCATCCTGGTGTCCCGCCCCTCCGTTCCCTATCAGCTTTGCCCCCTCTCCAGGAGCTTCAGCCTGGACCCACTCATGGAGCGCCGCTGGGACTTGGACCTCACATACGTGACAGAGCGCATCTTGGCCGCCTCTTTCCCCGCGCGGCCAGATGAGCAGCGACACCGGGGCCACCTGCGCGAGCTGGCCCACGTGCTGCAATCCAAGCACCGGGACAAGTACCTGGTGAGGGACGGGACTGGCCGGATTCAACCAATGAGAGGGCTGGGAGGTGCAGATGGGCGAGGCTGCTCACTGACGTCGATCGCTGAGGCGAGGCCGCCAGGGGGCAGCACCAGCGCACGAGGGCGGAGACGCGGAGGGACCGCGGCGCTGGCGAGCGCAGCCAGTGGAAACTGCTGGGACGCAGCTCGCAGGGCCCTGCTTTAGCAACCTCCTTGTTTTAGAGCAGAACTCTTAATAAGGATCCACCTCCAGCGCGCCTCGCCGCCCGAGGTCGCTTACACCCAAGGTTCCCTCTCCCTTTATTTCAGCTCTTCAATCTTTCAGAGAAAAGACATGATCTGACCCGCCTGAACCCCAAGGTAGGAAGGAAATGGCCTGCCCCACCATTAAACCAGACTAACCTTGCCCAGAAGACCTCGTCCTCCTGGTCATTAATAGTAAGAATTGGGGGCAAAAAGTTAGCGAGACCACATCTCAGTCAACTAGCATGGTGGTGCAATTCTGTGATCCCAGCTACTTGAGAGGCCGTAGGATTGCCAGCTGAGGCTGGCACAGGGTAGAAGACCCTACTTGAAAAAAAAATAATAATAAAGCAAAAAGAGGGCTGGGGAACGTGGTTCAAGTGGTAGAGCGCCTGCTTACCAAGCTGGATGTCCTGATTTCAAACCCCAGTACCTCAAAAAAAAGGAAGTAATTAGCATCTACCTTCTTCAGCATTCACCCGCCCAGCATGCTACTGGAGACCTATGGGTGCAGCAGGTATCAGCCCACTGTACATCTGAACAAAGTGCCAAGGTTGTTGTGGGCATCCAGCAGGCCCTCAACCTTTCTCCAGGCCCCTATATCCTGTCCCTCCCCCCATCTCTTTGCTTATGGCCTCCCCTGCAGTTGCACCCTGGCACTTCCACAGGTCCAGGACTTCGGCTGGCCTGAGCTTCATGCCCCTCCTCTGGACAAACTGTGCTCCATCTGCAAAGCCATGGAGACATGGCTCAGTGCTGACCCTCAGCATGTGGTCGTATTGTACTGCAAGGTGGGCTGGGACCTTGGGGTCACAGAGCTGTGGCATCCTCAGCCTGGGGCCAGCAGCAGGCCTTCCATTGATGTCTCTCTGTCTTTCAGGGAAGCAAGGGCAAGCTCGGGGTCATCGTCTCTGCCTATATGCACTACAGCAAGATCTCAGCAGGGTGAGGCCCCCCGCACTGGCCCTTCCTCAGCTGGCCCTGTATGAGTCCCCCCGCCACTGTTCAGAGAGCGCCTCACTGTAAACTTGACATTTTCACCTCCTTTTAGCACTTGTACTTCACCAGTCTGCAGCAGATGTTCTGTGTTAGCTTCCTAGGGCTGCCAGAACAAAATGCCAGAGATTGAATGGCTTAAAATAACAGAATTTTATTGTCTCACAGTTCTAGAGGTTAGAAGTCTGAAATCAAAGTGTCAGCAGGGCCTTGCTCTATGACTCCAGGCAGAATCCTTCCTTTCCTCTTTCTAGCTTCTGGTGGTGGCTGACAATCCTTGGTGTCCAATCCTTGGCTTGAAGCAACATCACTCCAACCTCTGCCTCCGTCGTCACATGGTGTTCTCTCTGTGCCTGTGTTTCTGTGTCTCCTCTTCTCTTAATAAGGACCAGTCAAATTGGATTAAGGGCCTACCTTACTCCTGCATGACCTCATCTTAATCTAACTAATTACATCTGCAACAACTCTTTTTCCAAATAAGATCACATTCTGAGGTACATACTTTGGGGGAGACACAATTTAAGCCATAACATTGACTGCCCCATTTTACAGATAAGGAAAGTTAAGTTTAGGGAACAATTGCCTGAGAGCCAACAACTAGGAAAGAGACTTCTGGGGTGCTTCTAGTTCTCTTTACCACCAGTCTGAGAGGATCTCATCTCTCCTCCTTTTATGGAGCTTAGGCATAGGAGGCTAGAGTCTGGCCCCTAATCCCTCCTACTGGCCCTGCTCTCCCCAGGGCAGACCAGGCGCTGGCAACTCTCACCATGAGAAAATTCTGCGAGGACAAGGTGGCTACAGAACTGCAGCCCTCCCAGCGCCGGTGAGCAGCCTGGTGGGGATGGGCCAGGTTCTGTCATTTGTGCAACCTACCTAAATTTGGCTACTCATGTGCCAGGGTGCTGTGCGAAGTGCTGAGAATTCTGAGCAAACAAGGTCTGGCTCTCATGGAGCTTACATGCTAGTGGAGTAGAAGGCAAGAAGTCCATGAATAAATAGGCTAGCTCATTTTGGGTGATGATACATCCCATGAAGAAAATAAAGCTAAGGCTTGTGATAAAGAGACTTGCAGGACAGGCAGGGTCTGCCTCTATAACATGAAGTAAAGATCTTGAAAAACAACTTTCTAGGCAGAGGGAACAACAGGTACAAAACCTTGGAGGCAGCAAGAGAGACAGGTTAGACGCAAGGAAGAACTTTCTGGGATGCTGAAAGGTGAGAGGGAAGTGCTGAGGCAGGCCTTCCAAGGTTGGGTAGAGAGTACATAGTCAAATGATCTAGAGGAAGGGGCTGATGTTCTCCTTGGCACTCCCCCATCAGATACATCAGCTATTTCAGCGGGCTGCTGTCAGGCTCCATCAGAATGAACAGCAGCCCTCTCTTCCTGCACTATGTGCTTGTGCCCATGCTGCCAGCCTTCGAACCCGGCACAAGTGAGTTTAACCTCAGAGCTTTTCCATGGGGACAGCCACCTCTCACCCCTCCGACTCAGCACCCCTTATGTGCCTTCTCCTCCACCCCTCCAGGCTTCCAACCCTTCCTCAAAATCTACCAGTCCATGCAGCTCGTCTACACATCTGGAGTCTAGTGAGTGTGCTGTTCCCAGGCTCCTGACCCCCTCCATGGCTGACCCCAATCTCCCTCCAGCCTATGCATAGGTGACACTGACTCACTCTGTTCTGCTGTTTCAGTCACATCGCAGGCTCTGGGCCCCAGCAGCTTTGCATAAACCTGGAGCCAGCCCTCCTCCTCAAAGGTGACGTCATGGTAAGGGGGTCCTAGCAACAAGGATAGTTCTGGGGATGGGGCAGATTCCTGCCAGCTGCACAGTTATCCGACAAGTCATCATTTGAAGAAAGATTGGAGGGTTAAAAAGGGAATTCCCCAGAGGATCACCTTGCGGTTGAGGCAGGGCAGGAGCTGTGGCCTGGCAGTCCCCAGGGTAGAGACAAACTGGACCTGAAGCCCTGACCCCCTGCCTCCCACCCTTCCCAGGTAACCTGCTATCATAAAGGTGGCCAGGGGACAGACCGGACCCTCGTGTTCAGAGTCCAATTCCATACGTGCACCATCCATGGACCACAGCTCACCTTCCCCAAGGACCAGCTGGACGAGGCCTGGGCTGGTGAGTCAGAAGCCAGTGTGGTAGCAGGCAGGCAGACAAGAGTGTGGGGATTTGGGGCCTTGGTCTCACCACTCACTCCCCACAGATGAGAGGTTCCCATTCCAAGCCTCAGTGGAGTTTGTCTTCTCCTCCAGCCCCGAGAAGATCAAAGGTAAGATTGGGGCTGGGTGGGGGCTATAGGCTGTTTGTCTCCTGCTTCTACACACCCCAGTGGCTTCCTACAGGCAACACCCCACGGAATGACCCTTCGGTCTCTGTGGACTACAACACCACAGAGCCTGCTGTGCGCTGGGACTCCTATGAGAACTTCAACCAGCACCATGAGGACAGTGTGGATGGTGGGTGGGGCAGCGGGGCTGGCAGGAGGTTCAGGTTTGTGGTGGGGAGGGGGAAAGAAGCATATTCCTTCAGCCTGAAGCAGATCCCCTCCCAAGAGACAGTCAGCTGCAGTCTCATTAACTCTTCTCTTCCCTACTCAGGCTCTTTGGCCCATACTCGGGGCCCCCTGGATGGCAGTCCTTATGCCCAGGTGCAGCGGGCCCCCCGCCAGGCCCCACCAGCACCCTCTCCAGAGCCACCCCCACCCCCCATCCTCTCTGTCAGCAGTGACTCCGGCCATTCATCCACACTGACCACAGAGCCAGCTGCTGAGTCCCCAGGCCGCCCACCTCCAACTGCTGCTGAACAGCAGGAGCTAGACCGCCTCCTAGGAGGCTGTGGGGTGGCCAGTGGGGGTCGGGGAGCTGGGCGTGAGACAGCCATCCTAGATGATGAAGAGCAGCCTCTTGTGGGCAGAGGCCCCCACCTTGGAATGTACCCAGGCCACAGGACTGGCCTCAGCCGCCACTGTTCCTGCCGCCAGGGCTACCGGGAACCCTACGGGGTCCCCAATGGAGGCTATTACCGGCCAGAGGGAACCCTGGACAGGCGACAGCTTCCCTACGGAGGCTTTGAGGGCCCCTCCCAGGGCTATGCTGAGGCCTCTATGGAGAAGAGGCGCCTCTGCCGATCGCTATCCGAAGGACCCTACCCCTATGCACCTGAGCTGGGGAAAGCAGCCAATGGGGACTTTGGCTATCGCCCTGCAGGCTACCGGGAGGTAGTGATCTTGGAGGACCCAGGGGTGCCTGCCTTGTGCTCATGCCCAGCCTGTGAGGAGAAGCTGGCACTGCCCACAGCAGCCCTGTATGGACTACGGCTGGAGAGGGAGGCTGGAGAAGGGTGGGCCAGCGAGGCTAACAAGCCCCTCCTGCACCCAGTGCGGCCTGGGCACACACTGCCTCTGCTAGTGCCTGCCTGTGGGCATCACCATGCCCGAATGCCTGACTACAACTGCCTGAAGCCTCCCAAGGTGGGGGAGGAAGGGCGTGAGGGCTGTTCCTTTGCCATGTGCCCAGAAGGCAGGTATGGGCATCCAGGCTACCCTCCTTTGGTGACCTACGGCTATGGAGGAGCCGTTCCCAGTTACTGCCCAGCATATGGCCGGGCACCTCACAGCTGTGGATCTCCAGGTGAGGGCAGAGGGTATCCCAGCCCTGGTGCCCACTCACCACAGGCTGGCTCCATTTCCCCGGGCAGCCCACCCTACCCACCACCCAGGAAGCTAAGCTATGAGATCCCTGCAGAGGAGGGAAGGGAAAAGTACCCGCTCCCTGGGCACCTGGCCTCAGCAGGACCCTTGGCACCTGCAGGTGAGGGGCACTGGAATGGGTGTGCTCAGGGAAGAGGAGGGTTCTGAAGGCTTTGCACAGGGTGAGAAGGAACTCAGCCAGATCGAAGAGCTAGTTCTTGCTCACAGTTCCTCTCCTCTTCACTGCAGAGTCGCCTGAACCAGTGTCCTGGAGGGAGGTCCCCAGTGGGCATAGCACACTGCCTCAGTCTCCCCGAGATGCCCAGTGCAGTGCCTCTTCAGAGTTATCAGGTCCCTCCACACCTCTGCACACCAGCAGCCCAGTCCAGGGCAAGGAAAGGTATTCAAAGGGCCAGGCTGCTCGGGCACGTCCTTGTCCAAGCATGCAGTGCTGCAGTGTGGGGAGCTCAAAGCAGAGCTCTCTGACCATCTGCCCTTCCACCCTGCAGCACCCGACGGCAGGACACCAGGTCCCCCACCTTGGCACCCACTCAGAGACTGAGTCCTGGAGAGGCTTTCCCCTCTGTTTCTCAGGGAGACACAGACAAGGTTCCTGAGGTGCCAACAAGAAGTAGAACTGAGCCTCCAGGCCCTAGTTCCTTTTCCCCCGCTTCCTCTCCCAGCTCCCCCAATGACTGGCTTCAGGAAAGGAGCCCAGGGAACCATTCAGACCGTGCCAGTCCTCGGGGCCCTGTGCCCACCACTCTGCCTGGCCTCCGCCATGCCCCCTGGCAAGGCCCTCGAGGTCCCCCAGACAGCCCAGATGGGTCCCCCCTTACCCCTGTGCCTACCCAGATGCCGTGGCTTGTGGCCAACCCAGAGCCACCCCAGAGCTCACCCACACCTGCCTTCCCCCTGGCCGCATCCTATGACACAAATGGCCCCACTCAGCCTCCGCTTCCTGAGAAACGCCACTTGCTAGGGCCTGGGCAACAGTCAGGACCCTGGGGCCTAGAGCAGGGATCACCACCAGCCAGAGGCACCAGTCACCATGTCACCTTCGCACCTCTACTCCCAGATAACACCACCCAAACCCCAGGTATAAGGGCTTTAGGGGAGGATGGGGCGACCTTGAGAGAACCCATTCTTCCACAGAGAGCAACTGGGGAGTAGGAAGCCCTGGAGTCTGAACTCAGTCTTTCCTTGTCCTAGAACTCCCTATACAAGAGAGCCAAAGCAATGTCAAGTTTGTCCAGGATACATCCAAGTTCTGGTATAAGCCACACCTGTCCCGTGACCAAGGTGAGAAGCCAACACCTCCATGCCACCCCACCCTCCAGGGCTTCTGTCTTGGCTTTAAGACCCATTCTAGTTAAGGCCCTTGGCTCTTCCTGGCGCATTTGCCCTTGTCTGAGCATCTCACCAGCAGGTGATTCTGGGCTTCAGGCCCAAGGTTAGATTCAACACTGTCAAAAGCTCCTGTGAACTCTAAATTTCTGTTCCTAGACAGCTGCCACCCCAACAGCTGTCAGGGCGATAGGCCTGGGGGCTCATTAGCAGAGGAGCAGGACTGCATGGAGCTCAGTCAGCTACTGTGCAAACTTCTTGCCAACCTCTACCTACCATCCTGTAGCCATTGCCCTGCTGAAGGACAAGGACCCTGGGGCCTTCCTGATCAGGGACAGTCATTCATTCCAAGGAGCCTATGGGCTGGCCCTCAAGGTGGCTACGCCCCCACCCAGTGCCCAGCCCTGGAAAGGTACAGAAAGCCCAAGCCTGAGGGAGGTGGGATTGGAGTGGGGAGAAGGTGCAGATGCAGGAATACAGGGGTGGGCTGGGGAGGCACAACATGGAGGGGAGAGGCAGAAAAGCACTCCTGCTGCTCAGGAAAGAATACCATCAGGGGAGAAGCTGGGAGCCTGGAATCTGGTAAAGCCTTACTTTCCTACCCCCCTTCACAGGGGACCCCTTGGAACAGCTGGTCCGCCATTTCCTCATTGAGACTGGCCCCAAAGGGGTGAAGATCAAGGGCTGTCCCAGTGAACCCTACTTTGGTGAGAAGCAGGAGCCCAGGGAAGGCTCCGCTGGGTTGGTTTTAAGGAGAGGCCAAGAGATTTCAGAAGGGTGGAAGGGAAAGCCACGGGGTTATCTATGGATACCTCAGTACTTTTCTCATCTACTTCCCTACAGGCAGCCTGTCTGCCCTGGTCTCCCAACATTCCATCTCCCCCATCTCCCTGCCCTGCTGCCTCCGCATTCCAAGTAAAGGTGGGTTACCTGTCCTCCCCATCTCTCCCCACCCTTGCAGCCAGAAGCAGAATCCAGAGGTCCTGGCTCCCAGCCTTCCCTTGGGACTGTAGAGGGAAATCTCCAGCTCCTCCAGAATGCTTCTCCCTTCTGACTTCCCCTGTCATTTCTCTCAGATCCTCTGGAAGAGACCCCAGAGGCTCCAGTGCCCACCAACATGAGCACAGCAGCAGACCTCCTACGTCAAGGCGCTGGTAGTGACCTCTCCCTTCCCTCCCTCTCCCTGGGCACCAAAGGGACATCACAGCTACAGGGCAGGAGAAAGGCCTGGAGGTGGTAGGCCCTAGCAGACGCACTTAATCCATGAAGGCAGGAGACCCATATTTGCAGTGTGTGTGGAAGAGGGGCCTCAGCCTAGGTTCTCAAGTCTTATGAACAGAAATCGTGGGTGAGAGAGAAAGACCATTAGAACGAAGATTCCCAGGTGCTTCCTAATGTCCCTGGTTCTGTAGATATGGTAGAGTCATAGGGGCTGCCTTTCTAACACACTGCCTATGTGATACTAGTGCATTTTGACAGCACTGGCTAGGGAAAGTGCAAGGGCTAGTGAGATGGAAGACTAGGGAGCAAAAGAAGATCTAGGTGCTGGGAGAGCCATCTCCCTTCCTGACCCACTTCCTGCCCTTCCCCCAGCCTGCAGTGTGCTCTACCTGACCTCAGTGGAGACAGAGTCACTGACTGGCCCGCAAGCTGTGGCCAAGGCTAGCTCTGCAGCTCTGAGCTGCAGCCCCCGCCCAACACCAGCTGTGGTCCACTTCAAAGTCTCTGCCCAGGGCATCACACTGACAGACAACCAAAGAAAGTAAGTCTGTGCACCTACCACTGGGGAACCCCACATAAGGACAAGCCCAGATATCTGAGTGTGACTTTCCTTCCCCACCCGTCTCCTCACAGGCTTTTTTTTCGCCGCCATTACCCAGTGAGCAGCATCACCTTCTCCAGCACTGACCCTCAGGACCGCAGGTGACCCTCCCTCCACATCCTCCCCCAGCCTGTGGTCCTGCCAGGCCCAGCCCCAGCTGCCTTTTAGTACCTGTCCCTTGGGCTTCACTATGTCATGGTTTGTTTTTTTTCAGATGGACTAATCCAGATGGGACCACCTCCAAGTAAGCCTTCCTCATGAGCCCAACACCCCCGCCCCCAGGACAGGGCACCTCCATGCTCCCCAACCCTAGCATGGGGCAGCCCACCCTGCACACCAACATTCCCCTGTGGAATGTTGCAAATGTTCCTTCCTGTCTTGGCTTTGTCACCATAGGATCTTTGGTTTCGTGGCCAAGAAGCCGGGAAGCCCCTGGGAGAATGTGTGTCACCTCTTTGCAGAGCTTGACCCAGATCAACCTGCAGGCGCCATTGTCACCTTCATCACCAAAGTTCTACTGGGCCAGAGAAAATGAAGGAAGGCCACAAGCTCCAAGCCCACATCAACACTGCCCCTCCCAGCACACCACAGCCCTCACTGCCCTGATCTGGACCCAAGGGCCCCAGGAGCCGGCACTCCCCCCACTACCACCGAGGAAGGGGAAGTAAACACCGGCCTGCGCCGCTGCTCTTACCCTGCCCCCAGCCTGCTAAGCTAAGTTGATGGGCCCATGAGATGACCTTGCACGTTGAGCAGATGGCAGACGGTGTGAGGGGTGAGGAGGCACTAGCAGTTGAACCCTGGAGGGGATAAGGACAGCTCCATCTGCAGGGGAATATCGGCCCTGGAAGGGAATCAGTCCTGCCAACTCCACCAGGCTGCAGGTCCCAGCATGGCAGGGAAAGTGGGGAGAGGCATGGGGAGTAAGTCACTCCCTTCTCTGCCTCTTCTCTGAACAGAGATCAGAGTGGGATCACATGAATAGGGGAAAAAAAGAGAGAGTCTATTTTTGTCTAAATAATAAAGAATTTCTATAAACTTTCAAGGAGATGATACCTTATTTACAAGAACATCAAAGTCTCATGTCTCCCAGAGGCATTCCTATACTTCCTGGGGGCATCCCAAGCCTATGGAATGTATGTAATTCCCCTCCCTGTCCTAACAGTGGTCCATATCTGCCCTGGGAACAAGATGCCTTCAGCTTCCCTCTACCTTCTGGTCTTGGCCCTCTGCACTAGGAAGGATCCCCATTCTGGTTGTACTGATAAATATGGAAATTCCGTCTTTATTGGCTGTATAAACATCTCTGGTCTGTACATATATTTCATACATCATAGTGCAGAGCCTGAAGGGAGGGCCAAAGGAGACCCCAGCAGCACGACAGCACGTCCACTTTCCCCACAGCCCTGCCCACTCTGTGCAAACCGAGGCCAACAGCTGCTGTTCCCTCTTCCTCCCCTCACTGTTATGGGGAGGGACTCAGGGGTCAAGGGAAGGCTTTCATGGCGGGGGGGAGGGGGAACATCTATGTAAGTGCTAGAATCAAACACTGAAGCGAAACAGGCAACTGGCACAAGCAGCAAGCTGGGATGCTGGGCAGGCAGGGATGGGGGCAGGTAAAGGGAATGAGGGTTACAGCACTCCTCTGGGCTCACCCAGCCGCAGCATGAGCTGTGCCTTAGAGCCTCAGCCTCCATCCTGGGAGCTAGGGCCAGAGGTGCCACAGAGGAATAGTGCATGACAGGGAATGGGGAGCAAAGGCTTCAGTCCTGTGCCACCCCACAGTCCCTCTCTCTTACACACATTCTGAGCATCCTCTGTGTGTGGACATGTATAGGGAGCCAGACGCAGACTCCGAGGTGATGGTGCCTGAGCAGGTGCGATGGGGAGGTGGGGAGGCAGGGAGCTAGTTCTGAAGAGAAAGGATGGAGACCCTAGAGGAATTTTAGGCAGCAGCCAGTGAAAAAAAGAGATGGCCCAAAAGAGGCCCCCTAGCCCAGCCAGGGGGAGACAGCAGCAACTGGCTCACATGATGAGGACAGGGGAAAAAAAAGGAGAATCACAGGGAAATAACATGGTAAATAGGGGACAGGCTACCTCTACTTCACCCTCTGCAAAGCAGCATACCCAAATAGCAGCTAAGACGGGCTCATTCCTCTCCACTTTCATGGGGCCAGTAAGAGAAAAGAGATGTCCAGGTGCCCACTGACCAAAGCAAGGGGGATACTGTTCTTTGGGCCTGTACCTATCCAATTAGAGAATGAGGCCCAGAGACTGATGATAAAGGTGGTGCCAGGTCAGAAAGATGGAGGTTGACCAGGATCTAGGCTGCACCCCCAGAGCCTGTTAGGTAAGAAAACCCTGGGGGAAGCCAGGAATTAGGCACCTGGCCCTGCAAAGGGTGTGCAGAGGGAGAAGGGGCAGGTCTGGAGAAGTCCTAGCCACTCAAGGGATGCAGGTCTACTTTCACTTTCTCCCCACAGCTTAGCATTCCAATGGTAGGGAAGAAGCCTCCGGAAGGCACAACAGCATCTTTCTTCCCAATGATCTTGCCATTCCGGGTGAAGAAAACCTGGCAAAGAAGGTGGGGAGAAGAATGGAGGAGGCTTTGGCCTCTTCTCTGAGGATGGTGGAGTCCCAGCATAGGCTTGAGGAGATACTTGGGGCGATATGAGAAGTGACCACGAGAGGGCGTGCTGAGGCTGGAAACCAGCCTCCCGACCAAAGCCTGGGATCTCCAGTTCTGCTGACCTCAGGACACCCCCAGGGCAGCACTAGACCTTGCTCTTTCCTACCCAGGCTGAGGTGCTATGCCCACTGACAGCCAGCCCACTGGCCCCAGGACCCCGGAACAACCCTTCCTACTCACCACCACCTTCCTGCCCTCATGCTCCTGTTCTATCTCTTCCCCATCTTCCTCCTCTTCCTCTTCCTCCTCGTCCTCTTCCCCTTCCTGGTGCAGGTACATAACATTCCGGACGTTCCGAACAGCCCGTGCAGTCGGGGACAGGATTACTGTGTCACAACTGTCATCACTGTCCCCTAAGAGACAGGAAACCTGAGCTTCTGTGCTCCCTCCAACCCCGTTCCCTGAGCAGCCTGGTTGTTCCCCCACTCTACTCACCTTCGCTGTCCAGAATGTAGTCCCGGGGGAACATTATTCCACAACCCATAATGTCTCCTTTGTAACAGCGTGGCCCAAAGGGGTCCCCCACGCCACTGCCATGGAAGATCTTCCCATCATCTGTTGGAGGGAGGGGGACAGGATACACTTGAAGAAGGAAGCACAACACTAACCCCCAGACTGAAACAAAGATAGGGAGACAGATGTGGTAAGGGGGCATCAGATTTTTTAAAGGGACATAATGTCTATCAGCTCAAGGGAGAACTGGTCAGAAGAAAAGAGAGGGGCCCCTCAGGAGGAATGAACATTCAGGGAAGGAAGCAGTCCAGTCCCCTTCTCAAGAAAGCCCTAAAGGAAATCAAAAAGACCAAAAAGGAAAATGAAGAATCTGCAGATCTGCAGGAAGGGCACAAGGGAGCTAACTCAGAGGCCTGGAATGTCCAGTTTGGGCCCAGTTCTCCCACCCTATCTTGCTCCCCTGGCTTTTAACACTGGAAACAGAGATGAGGAAAAAAACACAAGCAGCCTGGGAAGGGAAAGGGGAGAAGCCACTTAGGAGGGTCTAGGAAAACAGATGATCCTATGCCTCGCCTCCCCACAATCCCCGTTTCCTGGACAGCCCCCCCATTTACCTGCATGGTAAGCTACAGACCCTCTGCTCCAGCCAGGGTGCCTGTTCTTGGGATAATCCTGCACCAAGAAAAAAAAAAAAATCAATCTGTGATATCACACACAAAAGAGAGGACAGGAAAGAATAGTGTATGAATCTGCTAGCTTTTGGAACAGACCACAAACCAGACATTTATGCACCAGCCTGCAGCCTCTTGCATTCTGCAGGCACTGGGGTGTGGGAAACAGTGAAGTAAGAAGATGCTGCAGGCTGCCCCACTACACTTAGGCCTTGGGGTATGTGGTACAGTCTCAACACTCAACCTTGGTCATTCAGGGTCTGCCCTCTGCACTGCAGACACAGCTTCCTGGCCCAATCCCAACAACCCCAGCACTGAGCAACTCCACAGGAAAAAACCCAGCACTCATGCCTACCTTCCGAGCCAGCCCCAAGGCAATGTAGCATTTCTCTCCTGGGTCCACAATCTCCACTTCAAAGTAGTGGCTACGGGTGCTCAGCGGGTGCCGGGCTTGGGCCAGCCCTACATCCACAATGCTCTTGCCTTTCCCCAAGTACTCCAGCAGCTGTGGGGTAATAGCAAGGTGGGGATCAGGGGGCAAGCTGACACCACCCCAGAAACCAGGTCAATGCAGTATGAATACCAGTTCCCTAAGTCTGACTAAAACCCCTGAAAATCCTGGAGTCACAATGTGGCCTCAAAGTTCCAGACAGGCATGGAAGAACAGAGATGAGTGGGGCGGTGAAGGCAGCTGCATGAACAAGAGGGCCCCTTGCTAGATGCCTCCCTGCCTTCCTACTGAGCCAAGCTCCCTTCTGTTTCTGGGAGACTGGACAGTAGCACAATGATACAGACAACAGACTGCCAGGAACCCCACTGGGGGTTCCAGGAGGGTCTCAGGCTCAGGCATTCCTTCCCTGAATGAGCCCACTGACCTTCCCTGATGGGAAGGGGAAAGAGAAGTGAAGACTAAGCCTGAAAGTAAGCCAGACAACTTTCTCAGGGGGCTGAAGATGCAAAAGTCAGAAGGGAAGATGCAGAAGTCAAATGCCAACAACAAATATTGAAGAAAGGTTCAGAAGCCAATTCTGCCTGGGATGGGACTGATGTTGATTTCTCAAGGTCTTTGTTTTACTTGGCCTTGAACAGAACTGTTCATCATTAGATCAGGGAGATGCTGAGGGGAAGCCAGAAACCCAGAACCCTTCATTTTGCCTGGGAGGAGGGGAGGTCAAAACAAAGACAGAAGGCAGGTGCTCCTGTTCCCAGCCCCTCGCTGCTCTTTCAGACTGGAGCAGGGGTGTGGATGTTGAAGAGGGGAGATGACTGATGGTTTCTGGGGCTCTTCAGTCCCATAATGGTCCTGCCTAGACATGATGGGGCGGTAACCCCCAATCTGGGAGGATTTATTTATCAGTTGTCATAGTAATAGCGGGGCTATGACTCAATTCCATCCCCTTTTTCCCCACCCTAGCATCACCTGGGATTCCTTAATCCCCTTTTAATTAGCCCAACTGCCCCTCAAGACTTTCTTCTATCCTTCCACCCCTGCAGCCCTGCAAAAATCATGCTCCCTGGGGACTTCTTCTGCTTATCCCTGGCAAAGCTGTGGGACACTGGCCTCCCGTGCCCCCAAGATTCCTGCCTGAACAGGAAAGGAATTATGCCTGCCTGCACCAGCATGGAGACCTGTGTGTGTCTCCAGCAGAGGCTGGTCCTCCCTGTTTATCCCCCTTGAGTGGGAAGAGAGGGACTCCCCCTACTCAGCCCTATACCTCCTAAGCCCCCCTCCACTCCTCTCCAAAGAGGAGTGGGGATGGATCAAGGAAAAACAAGAGGTGCATGGGAGACCACCTAAGTCCACACCCAGGTCCACTCCATCTGTGTTCTGTCCAGAGCAGTTGGTGTGCTCACTCAACCTAGACTCCTCCTCTGCATCTTTCCCCAGCAAGATGGAAAGATTGTGGCTTGGTACACATTACTCCTTTATACCCCACCCATCTAGCAGACCCCAGACCACCCTCTCCACCCACCATTGCAGAACTGGGTGGGGGAACCCACAGCTGCTCTTGACCCACTCTATCCAACTGGCCTCAGTGTAGGAAACAGAGTGTTCTTTAGTTCCATAGCCAAAAAAGGCTGATTCAGGTCCTGATCCTTGGGAAAAACCCGCCCAACTGTTCGCTCAGCCTCAGCCTCAGCCTGCAGAGGGTAGTTCCTGCAGTTTTGTCTAAGGATAGGGTGGGGATGCTTCCTAAGGCTAAGGGGCCAGGAGGACGACCTGCCCTGACATGGGACTCCAACCCACCCCACCCACAGTGCTTAGTGCAATATGCTCTCTTCAAGAGTGGAAGCACCTTCCCCTGAGGGCAGTCACCCAAAGTCATCTGCTTCTTTCCTGTTCTGAGCAAGCAAGCCCTGTAGCTTTCTCCCAGCACTGAGAAGCTAAAGGAGGGAATCAGTCCCATGGCAGAGCCTTGCTTCAGTATAGTACATTCCTCCTTCCTTAGGCTACTGCTGCTGTTAGGATCCTAGACTAGGTTTGGCTCCTAGACTGTGAGTTGCTAAGCTCTTGATTCTGGTCTCTTCATCTGTGCCTCAGTTGACTCTTAATTTGAATGAGAATTCAAAAGACCAAGTTCAAATCCTAACTCCTATTACTTAGAAGCCACTAACCTTGAACAAGTTATATTCATCTCTGTAAGCCTCAATTTCATCAATAGTAGAATTCAAAGGACCAAGTTCAAATCCTAACTCCTATTACTTAGAAGCCACTAACCTTGAACAAGTTATGTTCGTCTCTGTAAGCCTCAATTTCGTCAATAGTAAGTAGGGATGATTCTACTGATATCTCCAAAAAACTAGTGAAAAGACTAAATGAAACGCATGTCAAGGGTATCACATGGAGCCTGACACCCAGTAGGTGATCCATACACATTCTGCCTCCCTTTACATTGGGAAATGGGGGTTACCTTTAAATAGCCAAGATGAAAGACCAAGAATATGGTCTTTCATCTCAGCCCTTACCTCCAACTAGAATGAGCCTTAAGCCAACCAGGAAAGATTACTACTTTCCAATCATTCTACTCCAGGAGTCTGCCCCTCCAACAGTGCCCACTCAATGGGAATGCTCTTCTGCACCTTTTTCTCCCCCAGCTCCGGAGACTGAACCCAGCCAAGGGCCTTGTCCATGCTAAGCACTCTACCATTAAACTACATTCCCAGCCCTTCCTCCTCTGCATCTGCAGTGAAGGTACAGAATTCTTTCTTTGAAGCCCTCAAACCACTCTGCCTGCCCCCACTAATGGACTCAACACCACTGAGTAGAGGCTGCAGATCAGAGTGCAGAGCCTCTGTACCCCACATGCTACCTCACTCCTTTCCTGCAGGCTCCCGCCCTTTCCCCTTACCAGCAAAGACCCTAATCCCTCTTGACAGGAGCTGGGGAAGGCTCACTGCCTAAGGGCACAGAAGTAGCTGAACCAGGAACCAAATACATGTTCCCCCACCAACCAGCTCAGGTCCCAACACAGCCTCCTTCTGGGTTGGGTCTGAGGAGGACTTCTAGGAGGGTGGGCCCTCTTTTACCTCCCTTTGTGTACCAAAGCTGCTGCGGTCGCTAAGGAGTTGTCAGAGGAGCTATGAAAAGTGAACAAAGACCGAATGAGTCTAATCCTCCAACTATAGCCCCCATCCTGCACACATGGCCAAACTCTGCAAGGCCTAGAGGCAGCAGCAATTCTTCAGTACCCTCAGTGCTCTGGAGAGGGAGAACTCTTTAATAAAAAGGAGGGAAAACTGAGGCCACAGAAGACCGGAGTGGGGGGGGTGGAATTCAACTCAAGAAAGAGCCTAAATACAGTCTACATGCAGATACCTGGATCAAACAAACACAACTAAATATTAATAACTGTTGTCTAGGGTGTGGGTAGATATGTGGTCACTGTACTATTTTTCAACTTTTCAGTATGTTGGAAATTTTTTATAATGAAATGTTAGAGAGAAAAAAAGAGTCAAAAATTAAATTTGTTCTTCTTTATGGGAAGAACCATTAAGAAGGCCCTAAAACTGAGAGAAAAGGCTGGGAGCAAAAGAACCCCAAGGCAGTCCAGTTAACTACCTAAAAGGGCCTTGGCTGGAGACACTAGACAGGAGACTGTCAGGGGAGTGGGGATTTAAAGCTAGAAACTGCAGATTCACCTCACGAGGCAGGGGGTGGGAAAAGATGACTGGCCACAGAAGAGTAGGCTTGGATAGAAGGCACAAGCACATGAAGATACTCGTCAGGATACCACAGGTGACATCCCAATGAACCTACCCTAAGCTGAAAATATTGTAAATCGAAAATGAATTTACTACACACAACCAACTGACAATCACAGTTGGGCAACATATTATTGTGATCATGGGGCTCACTGGGAGCTACCGCTTACTGATGCCACCTGGTACCACAAGAGAGTATCATACCACTTATCACTAGCCCAGGAAAAGATGAAAATTCAAAGCATGGTTTCTAATGAATGCACACAGGTTCCCCATCATCATAGTCAGAAAGTGGTAAGTCAAACCTGGCAGTAGTGGCTAGCTACTCAGGAAGCAGAGATCACAAGGATCACAGTTCAAAGCCAGTCCCAGGCAAACAGTTTGGGAGACCCTATCTCAAAAAAACATCACACAAAAGGGTCCAAGCAAGTAAGAGCACCTGCCTGGCAAGTGCAAGGCCCTGAGTTCAAACCCTAATACTGCCAAAAACAAATAAATTATTATTATTATATTATGATTATTAAATAGAAAGAAGCAGCACAGCCAGATGCAGTGCTTATGCCTGTAATCCTAGGTACTGAGAGGTTCAAGGTTCAAGGCCAGCCAAGGCAAAAAGTCCTCAAGACCCCCATCTCAAACAATGGCTGGGCATGGGGGCACACCTGTTATCCTAGCTACACAGGGAAGCACAAATAGGAGGACTGAGGTCCTGATTGGTCCAGGGAATAAAGCAAGATTCTATTTCAAAAATAACCAATGCAGTGCTCACTTAGGCAGCAAACATAATAAAACTGTGAACAATATAGAGATTAGCAAGGTCCCTGTGCAAGGATGTCATGCAAACTCGTGAAGCATTCCATATTAAAAAAAAAAAATAATCAATGCAAAAAGGGCTGACCAGAGTAGCTCAAGTGGTAGAGTATTTGCCTAACAAGCATGAGGCCCTAAGTTCAACCTCTGATATTGCCAAAAAGGAAGAAGCAGTACAGCTTAGCCCAAATGACTTCTACTGAGTCCCTCAAGGCTAACACAAAGGAGGGGAAGGCCAGAGCACAAGTGGGACCTGGAAGCCAAAGGCAATGGAGGAAACTAGTAACTCACCTCCATTTGAAAGATGGGACAGTTGGCAAAACTAGAAGGCACATGTCCCTGAACAAGTTCATGCCCAAGTTTGCCCTAGAGGAGCAAGTGCCCAGGGCATAGTGGTTACACCCTGCCAGCTACCCTAAACTGGGGTGAGGGTCTGAGCGAAGACTCGTAGCTATGTCTAAGAAAGAAAAAATTCATAAATGAGTGGCCTGAGGGCCCTTAGGGGAGGGTGGGGAGGAAGGAAGACTATTTATAAATGTCTACAGGATTCCGCATCAATTAGAAAAGATGCCTGGGAGGAGCTGGGAGCAGAGTGGGGACAGGTCCAGGCAGGGAAAGATGCCAGGAAAAAACTCTTGAGAAGAGGTCAGAGATGAGAGTTGGAACATTGCCCTGGCTCAGTCCCAAGTTCAACTCTGTAGATAATGTCAAAATGATGGTATGAGGGGAAAGAAAAGAAAAAGATGAGAGTCAAGGCGTGGGCATCAGAGACCCTCCAGCTCACAACCACAGCAGCCCTGTGAACCCCAGGGCCAGAAGAGATGCAACGCATGAGAAGCAGCAGAAGGGTGCACTTTCTATCATTTTCCCTGAGCTTGACTTACCACAAAGGGGAGGCCATGGCTCATAATTCACTCCTACTTCCTACTGCTTCTGTTTTGCTATCACAAGCTGATTTGAAAACAGCCTGGGTTGGGGTAAGAAGGCCAGAAGGTGGAGGAAAAGGCCAGGCCAGGAGCAAGGGGGACAGCAGAAGGACAATTCAAAGTGGGAGGCCCAAGCAGCCCACAAGAGGTCAGAACCAGACCCTTGATTCAGAAAAGAGGCACAGGAGGACTTCCCTCTCTCAAGGCCCATGTGCTTCCCAAGAAAACTCAAAAGAATCTCTGCCTCTTCATCTGCCTTTCTCATCCTCTTTAAAATTGGGCTGGAGGAATGGCTCAAGAGGATATCTGCCTAGCAAGTATGAAGCACTGAGTTTAACCCCCAGTACCACCAAAGCAAAAAAAAAAAAAAAAAAATCCTCATCCTCTATAAAATGTAGGGGATTCTGGGTGCTAGTGGCTCACACCTGTAATCCTACCTTACTTGAGAGGCTGAGATTGGGAGGATCACAGTTCAAGGCCAGCCCAGGCAAATCGTTCATGAGACCCACATCTCCAAAATAACCAGAGTAAAAGGGACTGAAGGTCTGGTTCAAGCAATAGAATCCCTGCTTTGCAAGCACAAAGCCTTGTGTTCAAACCCTAGTCCCACCCAAAAAAAAAAAAAAAAATGTAGGGGGGGTAGAAAAGATTGACATTGAAGTTTTCTCAAGAAAGATTTCCAAGAACTTTCTCCTACCTGTGTGGGGTAGGTGCCCATACCTGCCCTTTTCCCCACTGGCCTTATGAATAGACAGCCTGGGCCAGCTAACCTGGATGGAGCCAGAAGGGGAGTGTAGGGAATCCACCTCCAAATCAGCCTCCAGCCCCTCAAGGGCAAGCAGTCAGGGCAGCTGAAGGCAGCAGACACTGAAGGAACTGAAACAGGTGAAGAAGAGCTTCTACTCCTTCCAGGAGTCAAAAACTAACCTGAGTTCTCACATGAAAGGAAAGGGAAGAAAGGGAACCCATGATAAAGAGAAGCCACATCTGGACTCCAAGAATTGTGTCAAGGCCAGGGGCTCTCCTGCCAAAACTCTCATCTCCAAAGGCCCATAAAAGACACTGTCCTGGGTGCAGTGGTTTGTGCCTGTACTCCCAGTCACGCAAGAGCCTCAGGCAGAAGGATCAAGAATTCAAAGCCAATCCAGGCACGGGTGGCTCACACCTGTAATCCTAATTATTCAGGAAGCAGCTATTAAGAGGATTACAGTTCAAAGCCAACCTGAGGCAAATAGTCTGGGAGACCCTATCTTGAAAAAATCCAATAAAAAATAGGCTGGTGGAGTGACTCAAATGATAGAGCACTGCCTAGCAAGCTTGAGGCCCTGAGTTCAAATCCCAGTACTGTAAAAAAATTAAAAAGACACTATCCTTGCTCCCCATTCTGAGGAATTCAGACATGCTCATGTGCCCACAGGTGTTCTGCCAGCTCTCTCTGCCCTGACCCTACCATACTACTGTCCCTTACTTACAGTCCCGCAGACTCTGACATCATGTAGCCGGCCCCATTCATCCTCGTAACTGTCCACCATCATGATGCTATCGTCCTCACGGCCCAGTTCAGCGTTGAGGTGCAGTCGTACCTCCTCACCCAGAGAGTGCATGCCAACTGCTGGGAACAGCCCATCTGGGGACATGGGCATGATAGTAGAGCCCACCTGCAGTGGAGGGAGGGAGGAACAAAGGGAGGGAGCTGCCATGTGGCTCACTTAAATCTCACAAGGGCACTATTACTATGATGCAACCAATAATTACCACAGCCACACTGACAGATTAGAGAAAATAGAAGTACAGAAAAGTTTAAAAATTTGCTAAGTACTCCTGGCCAATGCTCTAGCAAGGTATTCACAGAGCTAGAAGGTAAAGCCAAGTCTCTGGACTTGCTACCAAATTTGTGTGCACAGTGTGGCGGGGCAATGCTGAAGCGCAGCTGCTGAGGGAGGGGACTTCTCCACCCAGGCCTGAGAGACAATGTTTCAGGAAGGAGCTGAGAAAAGGGACAGAGATGAGTGTATCTCTCTTCTATTTGCTCTTGTCCCATCTCTTTACCACTTCTAGTCTGTCTCTGAAGAGGAAAGGGAAGGGACACATTCCCAAAAGTATTCAAGTCAAAAGCTCATAGAGGCCCTTCAGCTTATGCAGTCATGCCACAATCTCCTCTCCCCCTTCCTTTCTGTCTGCTCAAAACTTTTCCCCAAATCACCCCACTCTACCCTCACAATTTCTGCTCATCCTTCACTGGCTACACTAACGCACCATTTTAGACCTATTACCTGGGTTATGTCCCAGCTACCCTAAGCAGGGAAGGTGTCTTCTACACACAGAGGACTTGAAGTACATCTGAGGCTAAACAGAGCAGACTGGAACTAAGTGTGGGTCCCTGAGCAAGTCCCAGCCAAAAGACTCTTCCTAGTTGTTCCCATAAATCCTAGGGCAGCTTTAAGCCACCTGAACCCTCCCAGGATTTCCCACTCACCCGCTTCCCATTTTTTGTGAAGAAGATCTGGGCAGTCTGCACATCAAAGGACACAGGCTCAATGCCACAGCCAATTCGGTCCCCGGAGTTGCACTTTGACCCAAACTGGCGGCCTTTGGCTCGGCCATTGTATAGCCTGTGAAAAGCGGCACAGATACAGGACCACCTGCCTCCACTCCTCCCCAGCACCCTCCCAGCTGCTCCAGTCATTCGGATGGCATCCATCATCCTGTTGTGAGTGTCAAATCTCTCCCCAGTTCTGCACACCTGCAAGGGTAGCCACCAGTCCACCTCCTATCCTGATCAGAAGAATTTATGAAAATACCCAAAGACAGGGTTAGGAATGAGGAAAGCCATGTGGAAGTAGCTTCTCCTTCCTACCTATGATTCCCAATTCCATAGGAAAGAGGTCAGATTTCACAGGGGGCCACTCACTTGCCATCATCAGCATGGTAGGCTACAGAGTCAGGCAACCAGCCAGGCTGGTGATCCAAGCTATAGTACTGAGGGACCAGCCCCACAGCAATGGTGCCTCGGACGCCACTGTCCACAATAGACACCTGGAAGGAAGAGAGCAGGACACAGTTAGGAGGGATGAGAAATGGAATGAACTGCTAGGGGTTGGGAGGGGCAGGGCAGGGAGAAGAGCTAGTGATCAAACGGAGTTTCAGCTCAGAGAAAAAAGACATGAAAGATGAAAGATAGGACACTGAGAGGGAGAACAAGGGAGAGTGGAGGTCTACTTTACTACAATTACTTTGGCAATTATTCCGGAGCTTTAGAAAGATAGTAGACAGAACAGATCCTGGGCTTGGGTTAAGGGGGTAGGTACACATGTGTCAAAGTCTGGGATATGGGTCAAAGTCCACCTAAGTGGTGAGAGGGGATCTGGAGAGTAGAAGGGACAGGGTAACAGGACTCTAGGGCACCTATCTCTAAGATCAGGAGCCATGCTATCCTGTACCCTTTTCCCAATCAACAGAGCAGCTCCAGTGGAAAATTAAAAGGACCAGGTCATGAATCTGGCAAAGGAGCTCCCTAGAGCTTAATGCTTCACCTCTAATCTCACCTTCTGCTCTGCCCACCCACTGCTTAATCACCTCAAAATAATTGCTGTCCTTGGTCAGGGGTCGAGAAGCCACGTAGCAGCCAACTTCACCAGAATTTCCATGGTAACTGAAGGAGGAATGAGGGGGGGAGTTCCATTAGCAGCTCAACCCAGGAACTGGTAGGAGGGCCTCAGCATTCCCAACTCCCACCCTGTGAGGGCCAGCACAGTAGAAAACCCATCAGGTCACACTTCAGGACATCTGTATATGTAACACAAGATACTTAAGGTCACCTATGCCTCCCACTATCTCCAGCCAGGTCCAACCCACACTTGAGCAGTGCAATCCTGGTTTCTTCATCTCCAGGGGAAAGAAATGTAGAACCTCCATTAGCTGCCTATCAGAACCCTATCTAACCTCAATCACTCATACTGCAACTTCAGCCCTCAGCTTTGGCTCTGTCTTCTGTGGAGCTGGGAAATAACTGGTCTCTTTCTTCTGTACCAAAACCCTTGGAAAACTGAAGTCCCACTCCTAAGCTTTCTTGCCTCAAGGCTAAATAACCCTACTTCCTTCTTCCTTCAGTGACAACTTTGTGAGAGAGTTAGTCTCAGGAAGGAGTCAGGGAAGGGGTTTAAGACAGAAAAGAAACAGAAAAACACACAGAAATCAAACGTTTGGATAGAGGTGGTGGGCAGGATGCACTACAGAGCTGTCTTTCCCCAAACAGGCCTTTGAAAGGACCACTCTCCACCAAGCCCAGACCCTAAGATGTGGGCAGAAGGAGACTCAGATTCCCCACAGACCTACTGAGTCTTCTCAAAAAAGAACTCAATTCCAGCAGCCTCCTATATCTTAAATGGTCACTTCTAATGCCCAAATAGGACAGGCCCTTGCTGGATCTCTTCCTTGTAAAACCAAAACAGAGTGACCCATGCTGGCATGGTGGTGTACGCCTGTAATTCCAGCACTCAGGAAACTGAGGCAGGAGGATCATGAGTTCAGGCCAGCCTGGGCTACATACTGAGAACCCTTCATTAAAAAAAAAAAAATTATAAAATAGAGTGATCCAGAGACAGAGGGAGAAGGGAGTGCAGGGTCAAGTAGCACACACTGCTTCACTCAGAAAGGACTCCCAGTCAAGAACACCCAGTACAGTACAGACACCCATCCTCTGAGAAAGCCCCCTTTCACCTCTAAGATCTGGAACAGAAAGGAAAACATGGAACCATTCCTCTAAACTCACCTCAAAGTGTCTCCATCTACAAGGATGTGTTTGAACCTCTCCTGATATCGGAAAGCCCGTACCTCTCGAATCTCCCTGATCCGCCTGCGCCAATTCAGAAACCGATAGTGCAGGTTGAGGTCATCCATCTTGTTCATGAGAACAAACCTTCGAGGGGAGAAGGGACTAAGAAGGAAGCAAGGCCCTAAGCAGAGAACCTCAGCCTGCTTCAACCCTGACAGTGGACAGGGCACCAGAGTTGAGGCCAGCTGCCCAGACCAACACCAATATTCCCATCACCATCCTTGCATGAAACATTTACTTGGCTCCTACTGTATGTACTGTCTTAGGTGCTAGGGATAAAGCTATGAACAAGATGTCTGGGATTTCTGTTCTCACAGGGTTTCCATTCCAGTGGGCCAGAGGCAGCATGACAGATAATAACCACACATGACAATTTGACCCTGTGAAGGAAAAAACATGGTGATGTGACAAAGAATGGGGTAGAAGGGAAGAGAATGGATAGAGTCTGTTTCTCTGAAGAGATGACATGTGAGCTGAAAAGAAGCCAGGCACATGACAGCCCAAGAAAGGTCATTCCAGATAGAGGGGAGAGTCAAAGCCCAGATCCTTGGGTGGAAGGGTGCAGGCACGGCAGAGAAAGAGAGAAGGCCAGGGAAACTGGTGTACTTGGGAACGCACCTGATAATGAGTAAGAAAAGGGAGTATTTACCGCTTGGGAATGTGAATGAGTAAGAAAAGGTAAGAGAAAGATCAAGATCCTACAGACCACGGTAAGGAGTTTGGATTTTACTCCAAATGTGATGGGAAACTTCTGGGGAGTTTTAAGCAGGAAATAATATGATCTTAAATCATATCTTTCTCCTCCTTCCAAGTTTGTAAGATCTTAAAGCTCATTTAGGCTGCAGATTACTGCAGCCCCTCAGTGGACAGATGGCATTCGTCAAAATGGTGCAGTGAAGGGGAGGAGTGGGAGGACCTGGGTATTTAAACAACCTGTAGTGCCAACATATGAATGAATGAATAAATTTTTCCTAGGAGCCAAACGTGAGAAAAGGGTGAAGTACTCTTCTTTTCCCATTCCCCAGGCCCTGGAAGAGTGCCTTGCACACAGTAGGTGCTTATTACACCAAGGCCAGGCTGCGTTCCATCCCAATGAGCGAACGATGTCTTCTGCAGTAACTACAACCCACCACATAGCTCGGGGGGGAGAAGACACCTGTAGAGTAGCCCTGGGATTCCCAAGGGCTCAACCTCAGGTAGATGCTGGGGCCCAAGACCTAAGGGAATCTGATTGCCCAGAAAGCACCTGGAGTGGCAGCCGCACTGGCCCCGCCTCCGCCCCGGGCACGGCCTGGTCACTCAGACTCGGGGGCAACCGGACCCTAGCCTGTCAGTGTGACCACGCCGGGTCTCCCCAAGGCCCTGCACTAGGGGAGGGTGCGCCTAAGGAGGAGGACCCGTGACCAGAGCGCAAGACCCTGCCCCTGACCCGGAGCTCCCGCCCAGGACCCCCGCCTCGAGCTTCGGGGAGACCCGAGGCCTCCGGGACCCCGCCCCCGATCTCCGCCTACCGGGGCCGCCGAGTCCTCCTCATCCATAGGCCTCTCAGCTCCGCACACAAGCTTTTCGGCCGCCGCCACCACACACATCCGGGTCCCCGCCCTTCCTACGCTCCTTAAGGCCCGCCCCTCTCCACTGATCCCGGCCAATTTACATCGATCTCTGACGACGGGCTCCTATATCAGCCAATAGCAAGACGCAGGCAGGGTGTGGGGCGCGGCCCGGTGAGCCGGGTACCTAGCGCTGGGCAGTGTCTGATATAAACCAGGGTGACGGGAGGTTGAGGAGGCTACGTGGCGGCGCAGACGTCGCTGTGGGTTCCCTGGGCGCCCGGGAGGCGGTCAAGGGGCGGCTCCTGCGCTGGGCGGGACCCGGCGGGTCAGGTTGCCGCGCCCTCACAACCATTGCATCTTCTGAGCACTTATTCTGTGCCAGACGTGATGCTAAGAGCTTTGCAGGAATGTCCTTTTAATCCACTCAACACCCTTGTGAAATAAATCTTATGATCTCCTTTTTATGCACGAGGAGCCAGAGACCGGCCTCCATAGCTGGTGCACTTAACTGTTACCATGTGTTTTATTCTCTCCCTAGCTCCATTTCAAGTCACGTTCGTTCATTCTGAGGACACTCCACAGCAGGAGGAAAGAACTTCAGATGCAAAAGGCACAACGGCATGAAACCCAGTGCTTTTCGGGAACAGAGCGGCTTGGTAGAACTAAAGGAAAGTTAGGTGGGGTCAGAACGTGAAGAAAGGAAGGATACTAACATTTATCTAGCACCTACTAAAGGGTGTTAATTGCCTTCGTGGGGAATTTGGATCTTTGGATGAAGACTTCTTCGATTTCCTCCCATCACCGAATCGCTCCCCCATCCCCCCATAGAAAGCTTTCCCCTTCTCTTTAACACCTAACTCATTTATAACGTTATTGCAGTCTTGTATTTTAGAGTCAATTGTATATGTAGATCTGCCTCTGCTCCTTCAGACCTCACTCCCATCCCATTCTTATCCGAACATAGTATTCTATAGTGTTGAATGAAAGGAAAACCATGGTCTTACAGTGTAAACGTCAACAGTGGCCACTTGGCCTAATGGAAATGGGTGATGGAAATAAGCGTAGATGGGGAATAGAGAAATCTGAATTAGAGCCCCAGTTCTATGTGACTGAAAGTTCAGAGTCTTGGTGTTCTCACCCATAAGTAAGAATTATTGAGGCCTTGGGCCACTCCACCAGCCCTTTTTTGTGAAGGGTATTTTAGAGATAGGGTCTTGCAAACTATTTGCCAGGCTGGCTTTGAACCACGCTCCTCCTGATCTCTGCCTCCTGAGTAGCTAGGATTACAGTTGTGAGCCACCAGTGCCTGGCTATATCAATAGTTTATTCCCTTTTATTATTTTTTTTAATAGGAAACACTTCATGAATTTTGAAAAGAGAACACTTGCATGTCATCCTCATGCAGGAGCCATGCTAATCCTCCTAGCTCCTTTCTTGGCCCTGCTGGATTACACATTCTTGAATAGCTATCCTCACCAACTGACCTCCAGCTCCTGATTCTCTTCCACTCCTCTTCCTTCCTGACTTATGAAAATACTTCAAGCCTCAGCTCAGTTCTTTCCAAAGGCACCCATAGAGGGGCTGGTCTGGGCAGCTGCCAGGGTGATAACCATCCCACACCCGTGTCCTTTAATAAACTAGCTAGTTAGCAAAAGCCTGAGATGGAAAAATAGAGCAGAAGAAAATGTTTCCAGAGTGTTGTTGGATGGTTGGTGAGTCCATTTGAGACTTCCTCATCTTCACATTCCAGATATGGGACTGTTCCTTTTGGTGAATGCTCCTTACATTAGCATTCTCAGGACCTAATTGGTAATTTGTGTTTGACCTCCACATGTATTTAATTAAGCAGCTTTATTTACTTATTTAATTTTTTTTTTTTTGGCAGCACTGGGGTTTGAATTCAGAGCCTCATACCTGATAGGCAGGCACTCTTACCGCTTGAGCCACTCCACCAGCCCTTTTTCTTGGGTTGTTTTTGAGATAGGGTGTTGAGAACTATTTGCCCAGGCTGGCTTTGAACTGTGATTCTCCTCCTCTCTGCCTCTTGAGTGGCTAGGATTACAGGCATGAGCCACCAGTGCCCAGCTTAGTCAGATTTATTGAGATATAATTGACATGTAATAACCTATTCATATTTAAGGTGCATTAAATTAATGCCACAATCACAATAGTGATATATCATCAGTCCCAAAGGTTTCCTCATGCTTCTTTATAGTCAGTTCCTCCCTTCTACCCTTACTTTCCCAGAACACCACTCATCTGCTTTTAATGATACTAGTTCACTTTGCATTTTTAAAAGTTTATGTAAGAGGAAATAAGGATATGTATTGAAAGCTGTTGAAAAACAGGGAGTGGGAGGTAAAGGGGTAAGGGAAAGTAATGGAAGGGTTGAACGGACCAAAGTAAAGTATAGTCACAGCAGAGATACATTGAGAAACCCCTTTGAACATTGCCTTAGATATTAATAACAAAAGAATGACTGTAAAATAGGTATAGTGTGGGGAAGGTAATTGTGGGAGGAGGTTGAATGATGGAGATTAAGGTGAGAGAATATGGTTGATGGGCTTCATATATGAAATAGAACAAATAAACCTCTTGCAATAGTTTTAAGTGGGGCAGGGAGGGCAAGGGAGATAGATGGTGGGGTGATCTTCAATGTACAATATAAGCCTGTATGAAGTTGTCATGATTCCCTACACCACATACACATCTTAATTAAAAAGAGAGAGAGAGAAAGACAAGAAAAAAGTTTCATATAAGAGGAATCATACAGAAATGCTATTTGGGGAGGATGCATCTGGCTTTTATTCAGTATAATTATTCTGAGATTTATTCATGTTTGAATCAATAGTTTTTTGTTTGTTTTTTGCGGTACTGGGGCTTGAACTTAGGGCCTACACCTTGAGCCACTCCACCAGCCCTTTTTTGTGAAGGTTTCTTTAGAGATAGGGTCTTGCAACTATTTGCCCAGGCTGGCTTCAAACTGCGACCCTCCTGATCGCTGCCTCCTGAGAAGCTAGGATTACAGTTGTGAGCCACCAGTGCCTGGCTGTATCAATAGTTTATTCCTTTTTTTTTTTTAATAGGAAACACTTCATGAATTTTGAATAGAGAACACTTGCATGTCATCCTCATTCAGGGGCCATGCTAATCCTCTCTGTATCATTCCAGTTTTAGTATCTGTGCGGCTGATAGCACAGTTTATTCCTTTTTATTGTGGAATCATATGCCATTGCTTGGATATATCACAATTTATTTACCTAGTCATGTATTGATGGACATTTAGTTGTTTCCAGGTTTTGGCTATTACAAATAAAGCTAGGATGAGTATTCATGTACAAGTCATTGTATGGACATATAGTAGCCAGTTTTCAGTTACCGTAACAAGTACCTGAGATACATCAACTTAAAATAAGGATAGGTTTCTTTTGGCTCAGTTTTGGAGGCTTCAGTCCATAACCAATTGACCAATTGCTTTGGACCTGTGGTAACACAGTACATCATGGTGGGAGCCTGTGGCACAGGAAGCCCTATAAACTAAAATAGGAAGGCTATGGTTCCAGGATCCCCTTCAAGGGCATGCGTCCATGTGACCAGGAAACTTCCAACTAGGCTCCATTTCTTTTTTTTTTTTTTTGGTGGTGGTAGGGGGGAGGACTGGGGTTTGAACTCAGGGCTTTATGCTTGCAAAGCAGGTGTTCTACTGCTTCAGCCACGCTTCTAGTGCATTTTGTTCTAGTTATTTTGGAGATGGGAATCTCATGAACTATTTGCCCAGGCTGGTTTTAAATCTCACTCATACTGATCAGTCTCAGCCTCACAAAGTATCTAGGATTACTGGCGTGAGCCACCAGTGCCCAGCTAGCTCCACCTCTTAAAGTTCTCACTATCTCCCAAAGTGCCACAGGCTGGGAATCAAGTTTTTCACACTTGAGCCCGTGGAAGGGCACTTTTCCAACCCATAGCAGGACATATATTCCATTTTCTCTTGAGTATATATCTAGGAGTGAATGGCAGATCACATGGTAAGTGCATGGTTAACTTTTTGAGAAACTGCTGAACTTTTTTTTGGTAGGGGCTGCACTAGGGTTTGAATTCAGGGCCTCACACTTAATACACAAACACTCTTGAGCTATGCCCCAGACTTGAACTGTTTTTCAAAATGGCTATATCATTTAAAATTCCTACCAGCAGTATAAGGGTATTCCATCCTTGCCAACACTTGATATAGTCATTTTTTTGTTTAATTACTGGGTACTCCTGCTTGTAATTGCTCTACCTCTTGAGCCCACCCCCAGTCTTTTTGCTTTTAGTTTGGTTTTCAGATAGTTGTGGGCCTTGGACTTAGATTCTCCTACCTCTGCCTCCGAAGTAGCTATGACCACAAGTGTACACCACCAGGCTCAGCCTCATTCTTTTTAATTTTAGCCATTCTAACATGTGTGTGCCACAGTAGTTAAAGATTCTAAACTTTTTTCTTTTTTTTTTTGTTAGCACTGGGTTTTGAACTCAGGACCTCATACTTGCTAGGCAGGCACTCTACCACTTGAGCTACTCCACCACTCCTGTTTTATATTGAGTCTTTGTAAGATAGGGTCTTGTGAACTATTTGCCCAGGGTTGGCTTTGAAACTCAATCCTCTTGAGTGGCATGAGCCACTGGTGCACCCACTTCTATTGTTATAAGCCATCCAGTTTGTGGTACTCTGTTTCAGCACATTACTACAGCCAATATGCACGCATATATTTATTTTATAAATCAGTGTGAACTCATATTTAGTTTCATATGCATACTTATCAGTTGGATAAGTATAGACCCAAAGAGAGATAAATGTGTCTCCATGGGTTAGGGTTCTTAAGGGATTTTACTATTTGCTGAGAGTCTAGAAGCACTAGGCTATTGACACTTTCAATAACAATGAGCACACCTGGATTATAGTATAATTTAGGTTATAATCCAATACTATGTTATTTTTTTGCTGTTGTTCCAGTTGTTTGAGCTTTGGCCATTAAGTGCTTCTTCAGGTTGGTTCCATTATTGCCTTGATTTTGGAGTATTTCCTTACTTC